AGCAATTGGTTTCTGCGACAAGCACACCTATTTGTGGTACATTTATTTGGGCAAAGATCTTATTTTCACTTTACCGAGTGCCTAGTAGGTAATGTGCGGATTACCTAGATACTCTGCACATTATCTAGGTAATTTGAGAAATGGAACAATTTTCACAACTTTGACGGATCACGCTAGTTAATCTGCAGATTAGCTAGGTAATCTGCAGATTAACGAGTTTCGAGCTTTAGCGGTAACAGCTACACCAACAACACGGAAGAAACTATCACGCACATCCTCACCAGCCTTTACCCTTCGAATGACCCACAGCAGGATGACAATACACAAGCGGTTATCCGGAGTTCTACACTCACTCCACCTAAAGAGAGACAATGACCACAACTTCACCTACATCGGTGTTTCGAATGCCATCTGTTCGCTCACCGATAACAGAGCCCAGGTCTTGACGGCATAACCACTGTGATGATAAAACACGCGTTTGAGGCCAATCTTACAGCGTTTGTAATTATCTTCAATATCTGCTTGAACACTGGCTCAGTGGGAAAAGGCTACTGTCAAATTGATTCCCAAACCCACCAGCGCTAACATTTACAAAAAATACAGGCCGATCTGCCTTCTTCCCACTGGGAAAAGTGTTGGACAGTCTAATGATTAATAGGATCACGGGGCATCTGCGCAAGCATAGAGCCCTGCATAAGAATCAGTTCGGCTTCTCTAAAAACAAAGGTACAGTAGACGCTATCCATCAGGTCATTAACTACATCCACAGGCTAAACAGAACAATCAGCATATTGCAATTATCACTATTGACTTTAGAGGCGCCTTCGATCATGCCTGGTGGCCTTTTATCCTGCACACATTACATGCTCATCATTGCCCTCAAAATCTTTACAAACTTCGTCAATCCTATCTTAGAGACAGCAATGCAGGTGTTCATACAACACAAAACAACAGTCATACCCATCACTCGAGGTTGCCCTCAGAGATCCAGGTCTGGTCCTGGTCTCTGGAATGTAGCCTATAACTCTATTCTGCACTTAAAAGACACTCTGCCTCCAGGTTTCCGCATAAAAGGCTATGCGGACGACACAATTATCCTACTTCACACAGGAACAGTGAACGCTTACAGGACATATGCAACGACATTCTCAATAACATTCACCAGTGGAGTATTAAGAATAGGCAACCCTTTAACACAGACAAATGCAAAAACATGATAGTTGGTAGGAACGAGCCATTCACCCTTTGGCTAGGTGCTCACAGAATAAAGCAAAGAACGGAAATTAAATATTTAGGTGTTATTCTTGACGAGAGACAACTTCACACCCCACATCAAATGCATCACGGAAAAAGCTAAAAAGACGGACAACACCTGTCAACTCATTAGTATTACTAGGAACACATGGTGCCTTGGCCCTAATGCTACTAAGCTTATTTATAGGGGTGCAATTCAGCAAGTACTCTTCTATGCCGTACAGGTCTGGGGCCACATGGCCACCAAAGTCCATAACCGTAAAATACTGTTACTTATTCAAAGGATTGCAGCTCTCCACATTGTAAGGCTTATAGGACCGCACCCACTAGGGCCCTTTTGGTAATGCCAGGATTGTTTGTTTGTTAACTTATGGCAACGCAACACTTGGGCGATCTGCCTAGGGGATGCCTTCCGGGGGATCTTTTTAAGGGAAACTGGCCCCTATTTAGGTGTTACAGACGTGGAGAAAACCCGAAAAACTCCACGTAGCCAACATATCCGAGCGAGGCGCGAGCCCACGACCGAACTCCCAGTGTTCAGGGTACGAAAACTGTTTGGCCACTGGTGAGCACTAATGTCAGGATTGACCCCCATCGATTAGAAATTAAACGCATTATTTGGCAAGAAAATCTCGTCACCTTACCCTGGTGAGGTTATAGCAACTCGGATGTTGACAAAATGATTAGAGTAGGTAAGATTCCCCCAGTTTGACCTTGATCAATGATATCAAAAAATTCAGCATCGACAAAAATAACCTCCCGACTTACGATTACCACCCCTCCCATCAGCTTGTCACTGACGTTTACTTCGAAGATCCAGGTGATCATCCCATGTTTAGGATTTACACTGACGGTTCTAAGATGGGTGACGATTTGAGTGCCGCTTTTGTAGTTTACTCCAACTTAGACCGCGAGCTTCACAACGCTTGCATCCGTCTAGGTTCGCACTGGTCATTAGCACAGGTGGAAACTTTAGCTGTTTATATGAGCTTAATTCACATTAGGCGTAGGAAGGACAAAAGACACTACTTACACTATCGCATTTATTCTGACAATAGGGTAGCTTTACACAGGATTGCGAAGTCTGATAGCTGCTTAAAACTCGTCCATCTCATACACCACATTCTTAGACACTTAGACAACATTAGAATTGTGACCGTAGGGTCAGCACCTCTTTGGCGCCCTGTCAGGAGGGCTGAATCTGACACCACCGAGTCTCTGGGGGACTCGGAAATCGTGACGTTACGTCTAAAGANTATCATGAAAACTAATTTTATTTTTAAATCTAAATTATCTTTTATTATAACTTAAATTAATATTTTATGTGTAACATTTTAATATATCAATATTAAAGTTTAATCATTTTCTTACCATCCCGTACACAAGAGGGAAATTCGTTTCGAGGATACCAATAGCCATTGTGTGTCCTGCATCGAAGGATTATTTCTGACCTCCTCCCAGGAAAATAGTAACCCGCTACGCACGTCCCCGTGCAATTCCTATGAATAACAAAAGAAAATGATGGATTTATACGATGATGGATGATAGATAAGCAAGTTTCATCTATAATAAATAGTAATTTATCTGGTATGAAAAAAAAATTTAATATAAACACTTCTTACATTCCAAAAGCATCGTATTTGCAATTGACGTATCCAGCAGTGGGAGGATCTTTTCTTCCACACTTGCTCAGGGTTACTTAGAATATATTGAATTTTATTAAAAGTTATTTAATTTATTGTAGCAAAATTATTATGCAGTTTTATTAATAAAAAACATGTTTTAATGTTGGACAAAATTGTCCTACTTTAACTTTATTAAAAGTTATTTAATTTCTTGGATAGTCTGAGAATATTTCATATAACGATGGTTACAATGATAAGTAAAATTTTTGTTGAAGGAAAATGTAATGTATAAATATTTAACTGTAGAAGATATCAGTAACTCCTGGTTGGGAATAATGAATTTAATGCAAGACTTTAAACAATTACTAGGATGAAAACAATTATTTTAGTCTTAGTAGCATTGATAAATAAGTAATTTCATTTACAGTAATCTAAAAAATCATAAAGCTTAGATTGTAAAGCTGACTTAGTCATCAAAAATTATAATATCCTTGACATATAAGAAACTGTGAATAATAATTACCTTTTATGCAAACACCAGGATAAGTATCAGAAAAGCAGTCAACTGAATCATTAATATAAGAATGAAATGAATAGGACTCAAGATCTGACATAAACCTTTCTCAAAACTGATAAAACAATCATTGTTAAAATAATCATCAATATAAAACATGTTTTAGAAGAGTAATAAACTAAGAATTGTAATAAAACAAGGGAATATTTCAACATTGAAAGTTTCCTCCAAAGTAAGCCATGATCTATTGAATCGAAAGCCTTTGTCAGATTGATTTGGAGCTGTGTAACTTCTGTGGCTTTCAACTTAGAACCAATTTTATAATGTTATACAGATCTGGTTTCAGTACTATTTATCATTCCTCACAGAAATTACATGTTTAGTATGAAAATGTTTAACCAATTTTTAAGAAAAAAGTTAATGATTGAGAATTTTTTATAATATAATTCAATCTCGCAAAATATTTCTTACACTTAGTTTCAGAACCTGTGTATTGCTAACTTTTCAAACTTAAATGTGTTTTGACAGCAGAATGTGCAGTGATAGTCCTATGTACCACATACTTAGCAATTTTATTATGTCACATGGCAAGTTTTGGTAGGAAAGTAAGAAGTTATGTTGAGCTACACACCAACCGAATGCCGAAAATCTATCGGGCTAGTATAAGGCTAATTATTAAATGAATTACATAACCAATTTGGCTTTAGAGGTAAGCGTTAGGTGCCATCTCTTATTAACATTAATAATTATAAATAAATAAATTAATTTAAATAATTTAGAACCGCTGGGAGAAAAAATACAAAATCGGTTTNCCTTTGACCTTATCACCCGTCCGACCAGAACTAAATACGATGTAGAAGATAACTTCGCATCGGAACTCCACCTTCGAATGGCCAGTGCCCATCAATTAGCACAAGAATATGCTGAAGCAGCAGCCAGAGAACGTCAAAAAATACATCGCCGAACTCATAAAATTCCTACATATCAGGTAGGCGATCGAGTCTTCCTTAAGTAGATTTAAGTCTTCCTACTAACAGCCACTTTGCCTAACTTCTACACTTAGCTATTCGTGGCGGCACTGAATTATTGGTGTTCGCTACACTCAGGTTTTCTTTTAGACCCTTCGGGGGGACTACGGCCTTGCAGCCTAAAAACTGCACGCCAACATTAAACATAGAGGATACTGCAGCCTTATGTACACTGTTCAGTGGGATCCTACCTTTCTCTACTGACTACCTCCTCTCCTTCCTTCTTTCCCTCCCCTTTCCCTTACCCTCTTTTCTGCCGGCTAAACACCTCGTGTACGGCCGATGTCTTTCTTGTATGTATGTATGTACTGTACAGACTTAGATAATCAAGACAATTCTAATAATTCATAAAGTATGATTCAAGGAAGCATAGTCTTTACCAAACTATGGATCGGAAGGTTCGAATTCGTATTGGTCAAGGACGATGGCTGACGATCTTTTTTTTTTGTTACTGTGATTAGAGTGAAATCAAATACATACCGAAGTTCGTCATTTTAATTTCTTAAGTTAAATGGATTACAGAATTCTCGAACTGATAAAAATAAAACTACTGAATGTATTTCTTTATAAAATACTCACGAGGACGAAAAGGAGATTCCACGTCTTCGTTAGCATCGTTCTTTTCGGGAATCTTAAAATATAAAAGTATCATTTGAAATAAGTAACAAATATAATCAAACATAAAAAATTATTTAAATCTCTACGAATAGATCTTAAAAAATTTCATATCTTTGCATTATTAAACCATCTTTTATTAAAATAATTCCTGAAAAAATATACTGTTTCATAGTGTTTACTCAACTTTCTAGGTTATTTATCTTCAATAATAATACTGTAATTCCTTTTCTAGAAAAAAATGTATATGAATGTAAATTCGTCCAAACTAACTAAATTGTGACGCTAAATTGGATTATATTTCAACAAAGAATTTTTTCCGATAAATTTAACCAAATTATTTATCGAGATGTGTGTTTCTTTGCTATCTTCAATAATTAGTCAAGTCATTGTCGATCGTGAGTTTCTATACTTTCTTTTAGCCAAAAAATTCCTATTAAATGCTTGATGTTTCTTCTCAGACTGGAGACGGTTCGAAGGAATTTTAATGTGTTCCAATAGTGCAATTTTGGAACATTCTATCTTTATTGGCAAAACATCCGCGGACGATTTTGGTTCGTTCTATTTACAAAAGTTATAAGATAAGAATAAAATACAATTTTAACAGACTAATTGAGGTAAGATGTGTCAGCTATTGTCATTAAAACGAATATATTTTAAAAACGTATTATTGACACAGTTACAATGTACAAGATGTATTAAAATATTATTATAATGTATAGTACCGTACATTAAGTCATTTGTACATACAATCTACTAAACATCTGATAAAAATACACAGATAATTTATGACAGGAACCAAATTTATTTTATGCAAACATCAAAATTATATATAATTATCGAATGTTTTAATATTAATGCTGTTCGCATCGACTCTTTTTAGTGTGTTCTATTTGCGAATAAAAAAAAATCATCAAATTTTTTTTATTTTCTCGACTGTTAACATAATCATTTCATAATAGTTTAAATGAAATCTCATTACAGCAATAAATATTATTTAAATGAATTATATAGTCTTAGAAAGTATATTTAAAAGCATTAATTATTAGCATATAGGAAATAAGGTACAGCTTACATCACTAACAAACATCCATTCTTTATCAGGATTAACGTCGCCCTGTTGATCGTTAATAATCTGTTCGTCCCGTAAATTCGATTCATCCAATTGATTATATCCCGTCGAATCGATTTCTAAACAGAGAAAGTAATATGAGAAATAAAAACTTATTTATCAGACAGTATAATTTCTATTATTATTATTATCATAAGTTTAAATTCCATAAACGTCTCGAAATTCTATCGTTTTCGGACAGCAAAGTTCAGTAAAAAATATTTTGGTGGAAAACGAATAATTTATAACGTAAAAATTGTATTCTGTAAATGTAAACTTAAAAATATTTTTTGCATTATGCAAAATTAGAGCGAAATAACGGTTTACAAAGTAAGAGCGTTATATTGCAGACTCGAATAATATTAATGCTTATTTTCGTTTTTTAAGAAGTCTTCGTGTCATGATAGAGAATGAAAGATCTTACCACCCTTTATAGGAGGAAGGTGGAGTCAGTACTTATGTAAGATAAATGATATATGACATTTAATAATAAATCTCAGTTTTCTGATTATATTATTTTGTTTCTTATTAACAAAATGATAAATATTGTAGTTCTTATTATACTAAATTAATGTTATGTTGTATCTAATGTAGCAGTTACCAGACACCTTTTATTCGTTTTTCAGATAGCTTTTCAATTGAGCACTTTTTTGTAAAATCCTTTATAGGAGAGTGCATGGACAACAATAAATTTTAACTGGAAACTAAAGTTAAAAAACGTAATTTGAAATAAAATACGCATTTGTACATAACTCGAATATATTGTGTTTTTTAATTATTAACAATAAAAAATGTTGATTTAAAAGTCTTTTTACCTTCCATACAAGCAGGAATATTTTGCGGTGTCCATAATCCTTGTAAATTACATCTGATAAGAGGAGGATCGAAAGTTGTTCTAAATATCATTCCGGAAGGACATTTTAGCTGACACAAAGTCTCGTTAGAATAATGCTGACATTTGATATCGCCGGAGAACATCAATCTTCGTTGGTCGCAGTTCGATTCGTCTGAATATATATTTTTTTTTAATAAAAAGTTTTGAATTTCATTGTAATTGCATAAATATAAACGAAAATATAAATTATCCAAAATAGTAACATTATTTTTGAATTAATTTTAACTTGTAATATTATTAGGCTATATTATTTTAATTATCTATTTTCACCTTATTACTAAATTAAATTACTGTAATTGTGTTTTTTTAAGTTTATCATAATACAATTATGATAAATTATACAAATAATTAGTTTAGTCATTTGATTTTAAAATTTGTCTTCCGTTTTGTTCTCTTTCGGGATGAGAGTCTCTAAATTATACATCCTTTCTACTCGATTTTCCGTCAATTAAAAATAATTCACAAGGTCTTTTAAAATGAGTCGAAGCAATTCTATAACATTTTAAAATCAAATTGTGACCGTAGTTGGATAATTATTACGAAATATACTTTTTTAAAAGCTTTTTTTCCGAAATAAAAAGAAGCGTACCAATAAATATTTCCGTTTGAAAAATGTGGCACAGATAAACCTTACTCTTTATATCCAATTGTACGATAAGAACTAAAGTAGCGTTAATACTCGATAATATATCACGATTAAATTAAATTTAAATTCATATAAAATTAATAAACAAATTAATCGAGAAAATATTCCCGTATAGTGCTTACGATATTGGCAGATGTGCCCACGATATCCTCTCGGACACAAACAAGTGTTGAGATTGGTACAAACTCCGCCATTCTGGCATTCCGGATTGCAGGTCACTATTAAGGGGAATTAAATTATTAATTAATTAAGTAATTAGATTATTTGTTATAATAATTTAGAATTTTGTCGAATTTCATATTATTCGTTCTATTCACAATTCCAATATCTCTTGGAAAATAAAACGGAATCACGTAACGAAATATAATAAATATATTTGACATTTTAGCAATTTAAAGGAGTCGTTTAGATGAATTATAAATGAAACGAGGAAGATCAAAGATTAAATATTTATAGAATAACTACTTTATGTTTTTACCGAAGACATTTATTTTAGATCATAATTAATTAAGATGCGAATGAAAATATACCTAAGCAGTTGGGAAAGGTGGGTGCAGGTTTCCAAGTTCCGTCGGAAGTATCGCAATATAGAGTCAGTTTGGTATTTCCGTTATCGAATTTATATCCTAAGCGACACTCGGCGGTACATTCCCTGTAAAGCAAAAAAACGTCACTGTTAATATTTGTATAAAGAATAGATAAAATGAGAAATTTTATATTAAATCTCACATGGAGTATTGTCTGGAATAACACCGCATGTTACTATTGGAAGGAGCTGGTGGTTGTTTGCATAAATTTAATCCTGTAATAAAAAATTATTTTATCATTTTTTATTGGAAGCGTTATATTAATTGTAGTAAAATAATAGGATGTATTACACCGATAATTTAGTATATTGAAAGAAAATAATTAAAATATTATGTTTAATATAAAAGTTTTTATATTAATGCTGTTATAAAAGATACATCGCAAGAAAAGCAATTTTGAAGAAATTTATAATTTTTTTTTTAAATTTTAATAAAGTATGATATTGATTACTAAATTGATTAGGGAAATGATAGAACTCGAGAGTAAAATTTTGACTGCTTTTTTTCTTAAAAATAACTTTTGTATTTACTTGTTTTCACTTTTAACAATATATTATTTGTATCCTTCTTAAAATGAAACGAGTGAATGTAAAGTAAATATAAGTAAATGTGAAAAAATTATTGTTGTTTGGTTTGGTTTTATTCGTATACGACAACGCAACACATAGGCGACCTGCCGAGGGAGGACGCCAATCGAGAGGTCTTTTATCGGAAACTGGCCCCTATTCAGGTGTTATTTATGTCAAGAAAACCCGGAAAACTCCCCGTGGTCAACTCGTTGGCCAGGCGCGAATCTACGGCCTACTACCGGAGTTTGGTGGTTTTATCCACTCGGCCAATAATGGACACATTTTTGTTGTTGAGGCATTGCCATCATCTTTCGTCTGAGCATTGATTTGTGGTTAATTGATATCAAATAAAAACCGTTATTTATCCGTTAATATACATTTTGTACATGCAATACAGTACGTTGAAATAAATTTCTGTAATATTTACCTTTTTGCTTATTTCAGATTTGTTTTCTTAATATCGATCTTTCAGAGTGGAAATAATTAAATCTTTAATTGATTCGGATTCTCTTACATAATAATAATAATAATTAGGTGACTGAATAAATTCTCAAAAATTTCTTAATTAAATTAGTTTTCCAGCAAATGATTAAAATTAATTCTATGTGACAAATAGAATGTGGCTTAAATAATTACTGATTAACACGAAATGCCTAAGTTTATATGTTGAATAAACATTTCTTTTTGATAGTTATAAGCAAAGCCAAATAAATTTGAAAAAAACAAAGAAAATTGAAAACGAATGGAATTACAGTATATTCAAATCTAATCAAAAGACCGACTTAAGTAATAAAAATGATAACGTATACTTACTTTCGCACTTCGGAAACTCAGCGTAAGGACGCCATCTGACCACACCATTTTCCTGAGTACAGGTCAGAGTTAATTCGAGAGAACCGTTAGGAAAATAATAACCGTTCGAACAGTAACCGATACACGTTCTGAAAATATGCATTATTTTTCATTTTTAATTTTATCGATAAAACACATCCAAGAAAGATAAAATACAAAATTGTTAAACTTATGCATAGTCTATAATATAAATTTCGATTTTTTTTTCTTATAAGAAATATAATCAAAAATTTATCTGCTGGATATTTTAAACAAGAATTTACATGTAAGATATTTTAGATTAAAAATGTATATACAGTATTTGATTTTTTATTTCTTTTTCTGGTATTTTTGAAACCGTGCCAGTAATTTTTAATCCAAACACAAATTATTTATCATATTTATAAATTAATCATTATCGTATTTATCGTTTTTATTTCTTTCTAACATAAGGTATGTCTTTTAGACCCTTCTCTATTGCTTCTATAATCAAAACGTGGAGCATGACATTTATTATTAAATACATTTATATTTAAACACAGTTTGTTAAATATAACAATAAGATTATTTCATACAGTAATATTGGTCGCATTAGTGAAAGAACATTCATAAAGTATGTTACTCATTTAAGGGAAGGAAATTTTAATATTGGGACATCAGCCTACAGTGGCTCTATGCTGCGTGTATTAAGTTTAATGAAAAGGGGGAAAGGGAATCAAAATTCGTTTAAAATGTGACATGTTTCACAGTCGTCTTCATTAGAGTAGATAGCTACAAAATATAACCCAGTATTATAGTAGATTTTGCTGCTATAATATCAAATAATAGCTTGATTTATTGATATAATGTGCACTACAGCACTATACTTACATAATTACAATAACAACCTGTAAATTAAAGAAACACGATATTTTAGTCGAAATAATAACCGTTATAATCAACAAAAGTAACCAGTGAAATATGCACGTATTACTTAATCATCTTTTCTAATCATAACTAATAATCTACTAATACTAATAAAAAGCACTCATGACATTGTTTATTGGTAATTTTAGCGTTAATTTTCCAATTACATTTATATTTTTCTTTCCCCTTTGTTTTCAATTACTTCCACGGAATCTATGGAAGTAGCCCTTTTTTTTATAGCAAGAGATGTAAACACCGCGTAATCTAAAACTGCTAGTTAATTAGTACAATGACTTGTGCACTTTTGCATTTAATTTGCGTTACAACCAAAAACTAACATGCCGTCCAAATGGGTCTTAAATATCTTTTTCAACTGACTTTTTACTTTAAACATGAAGTTTACACGTTTTTGATGCGTCTGTATCAAAAACACAGTATTTAAATTTGTGACTGTGAAGTTTTTGTGTTATACTATGGTCTTCTGAAACAAGTCAGTAACAAAACTCTGTTTTAAAACGACGGATTTTTAAAGTCTAAGTACACTTTTTAACATCTTCAATCCATTATCCAACATTTTTGTACACATTTAGCAAATTTTCATTTATTATAATCTCAAAGCTATTATAAATAACTTGAATATTTAAAGCTCTTCGCACTTACTTTTTATTCGAAGAACTTTGGCATTTATAACTTCCCGGAACGGGAGAAGCCAATTTTGGACAAGACAATTTTATACCTGTAAGTATCGATGGCAAAAATGATTATATTTTATCCACTTGTCAGATTTCAAATTCTTTTAGCAAACTGAATCTTACCAGAACAGGCAGGAAATGAACTAGCGGTCGTCCATCTTCCACTCGCTCTATCACATATCAATTGCATTTGGGACGAACCGTCGGGAAAATAAAATCCACTGAAACACCTTCCCACACATTTCCTATAAACATAAGTAATACAGTTAGTTACAAATATGAACAACGTTAAATTATAAATATGTTGTCATAAATAAATGTATGATCCTGAACTATATCTAATGACAAAACATTTTAAGTGTGTCAGATTTCATTCTGTTTCTGTTTGCATTTGTTTTTCTTATGGCGTAGGTACTAAGGGAGATAGATCATTAGAAAGATAGAAAAGCAAAATTTCTACCCGAGCGCATGAGCTCGGGTAGAAATTTTCTCTAATGGAACATGGTCGCTTTCAGACTTCTGTCAGTACTTTTTTTTGCATATTTAAAACTAAAGAACACGACTTGCTCGAACACTTAATTATAAAACAGAGCAGTGGTTTTCAACCAGATGTGGTGACATACTAAGGTGCGGCAGCGACACTTTAGAGATGCCGCGAAATAGTCCAGAGCAGCCATAACACGTGTTTACTTTTAGTAATACACGTGTTGTGGCGACTATTAAAAAATTGAAAAACAATGGTCAGTGTTTCTCAACCTCTAACGAATCGTCGCCCCCTTCAACGTAGTATCGCCCCCTTCAACGTAGTATCGCCCCCTTCAATAAAACCGTTACGTAGTATTGCCACTTCACTACAAAATTCCGATGCCGAGGGACAAGGCTAACGCCTAATTCGTACTGCATTGAATAGACTAGTGACTAGTATAATGTTATTTGTTTAATTATTATACAATATAACGAATAAAATATCTAATTATTCTTAATATAATGTTTTACTATATCGCCCAGAAAATTGTTTTTCGCCCCCAAAATATAAATTGTTATTAATCGCCCCCTCAACATGGAAAAACGCCCACATGGGGGCGATATCGCCCCCGTTGAGAAACACTGGACTAGAGCAATAGTTCTACAGTCTGATCATCAATCGCATTCGTTAAAATCTTTGAAGAATATGATACATTTTATTTAGTGTTCTTCCGGGTTATTCATTTTGACCAGATCTAAACATCAGAAGCTTAGAATACAATATATATTTTTAGTATGCGAAAGTGTATAACCTACAGTATGCGAGAATCTATGATAGAAATTATTAGTAAAATATCAAAATTTACAGAGTAATTCGCCGAAGGGAATTCCTGTATTTTTATGCTTTCTGTAAACAAAGAATATATACACGTAAGACTTACATAGTTCGACTATCCGAGACGCAATCCACTCGACCCGAATCCGGAGAATCCGGTCCGTTACATAGAGATTCTACACTTACTAGAAATAATATTAAAAATGTACAGTACATTAACTTATAACATAAAAACTGAACATAATAAATATTCTAAGAAATGTAAATCGAACAGATTTCATTTACGTAGACATTTGTATTTTATATGAGGATTTTATAAAGCAGACTTCATCACAAATGAGCCAGAAATTATTCGTTACGAAATTGTGCTCTCAATAAGAACCATTAAAGTTGAAATCGAATGAAAAGTTTAGAAAGATTAAACAAATATAATGATTTTTGTTTGTTTTCCCCCTTTTATTTTCGTTCAAAGACAAGTTTTCTTTACGTAGACTGTTATAAGTAGTAAGACAGAATCGACAAAATTTTGAAAACGACGTGGTAAATTTTTAGATGTCGGATAGAAATCGCTGATTCTTCGACATCTAAGACTATAGACAACAAACTTCCAATTATCCAATTATCAATAATAAACTAGCTTCTTACTTACCTACTTGTTGATAGTCGTTTCCTGAAAAACAAGAATAAATAATTATTTTTATTGTCCAGCTTACACTGTAATAACAAAACTTTCCCCTTTACGCTTAAGATATTTTTATGTTTAATACATACTAAACCTTTCTCGACCCTCTTCCTGGTTTTTTCCCAAAAACAGAAATAAAAAAATAAAAATAATAGATAGAACTACCTAACGAGGGCTCATAAATAGGGTCGACAAAGGTTTAGTATGTATTAAAAAAAATGTCTCAAGCGTAAAGGTGAAAGTTTTGTTGGTAATAAAAAGTAATATGAGCTTATATAACTTATATAAATTGTAAATATAGTTATACAATGATGTTATAATTAGATAATTATATATATTTTACGTATTTAAACGTACAGTACAGTGGAACCGCGCTTAAGGAGAATAATTCGTTCCAGAATCTTACTCGTAATACGAGACACTCGTTAAACGAAATAATTTTTCCCATATAAATTAGTGTAAAATACGATAATGTGTTCCAGGCCGAAAAAATTGCTCAAATATTTTATGTATAACGATTATTCAAAGAAAATTATACAAAATACATTGTTAAAAACCGTGAATCATCATCTTTTCTTCCAGCCGCGGAATGAACCAACTTGGAATGCGGATTCGATTTGCGGAAAACAAAAAAATAAAAAAATATCTCTCATAAACAGCCAAACGATATGCCAAATTCTTGGGCTATGTAAAGGTTATAATTAAATATTAGAAATTAATTAATTTGACTAGAGGTAGGCAGTTATGCTGTCATCTCGTATTAAATTTAATAATTATAAATAGCTAATTCTTAATTTAGACATTTCTAAAATTTAATTTGGAATTGGTCATTAAATTTAATACGAGATGACAGCATAACTGCCTACCTATAGTCAAATTAATTAATTTCTAATATTTAATTATAACCTTTACATAGCCCAAAAATTTGGCATATCGTTTGCGGTGTTTATTATATAACGGACTATGGTTGTTGATGTTTATACGTAATATGTGTAAACACAAATTTGGAAAAATATGTGATAACAAGCGACAGTAAGATGCTAGTGGAACGAGTGCTAAACACAGACTGATGGAGATGCGCACAATCCGGTAATTCCCTCTGCTGGTCACTCGTTAAGCGAGGTTCCACAGTATATTACAGCATATAAGACACAACTTTTCCCAAAAAAAGGACAAAAAGTATCATTCTGCATCTTATTTGTGAAGTCCCCGTAATATTTCGGGAAGGTGATCTATTCCGATACGTTGGACCCCGTCCCACACTTCCCAGCACCTATAGTGGCCTAGCCAAAGCCATAATGGGCTTGATAAAGGAAGAAGAAGAAGAAAAAAAGGCCCTCTTAACGTCCACAGGATGGAAAGTGTTTAAAAAAATCATTTATATAGGCCTATTTATATAGCAAAAGAGATTTTTGTTTAAAAAATATATCTTGTTATATAAATATATAATTGATTATGTTATATAACTACTTTTTTCGTTATTTTCGATATATAACTTAAGAAATATAAAGTAATAAATATTGTTTTTCAGCTTCACAATTATTTGGGATATAAATTAACTTTATGCATAAATACATTTAATGTTGCTATATTTCACTCTTCGAAAACTCATTTATGTAATATAATTTACAGTAATTTCATTAATGTTTAAAACTTTCGTTATAACTGATAAAACGAGTTTTATTCTTGTCTTTATTAGACTTTAATTGGAAGTATTTTACATGGCAATTTTGTAGAAATTCTTGATGTAAAATGTCTTTTAAAAATTTAATGAGTTTCAAATAATAATAAATTACTATTATTTTTTTGTTTTTTTTTTGTTTCGTAAAATCAAAATTATATTAAACTTTGCGCTTTTGTTTCAGTTTTGTAGCTTTTCGTTCTTAAAAATAAATAAAAAAAAACTTGCCTGCACCGGTACAAGAAGGAAACTTGTTGTAAGGAATCCATTTATTACTGTGAGTAAAACATTCTGTCATCATTTCGGTGGAACCATCCGGAAAATGATATCCTGGAGAACAGTAGGCTTTACAAACTCTTTAAAGAAAGAATTGTAGCATTTAATATTATGTAAATAGAACAAATAAAATATACACGGACACTAAAAGATGTTTAATAACAACTTTAAAATTTATTAGTATAATTTGTTAGAAATATTTTCGTTAGGTTAAAAAAATATATATATGTAAAATTATCAGGAAATTTTAATATTTTTAAAAATGTAAATACCATCGAGCAAGTTTTAATTTTTTCGTTAGTTTAATTTATCTCGGTCATAGTTACATATTTTATATTTTTCGAATGCCAAATATTTCAGATGTCAAATATTTCAAAACTCAAAACTAGAAAAATAAATTGGTAAAATCGATTTGCAAAATTTATTAGTCACTTTTTGCATTGAAATTTTTTATAATGAATATTTTTTTTAATTTCATTATAAAAAATGACTTATATCGTACTTTTTAAATAATAAGTTTTATAGGTTGATGAATTTATATTTGGATCCTTCACTGAAATCTGTAGCACTATATAAGCATTGTAGCAATATTGTGGCTCAAAATTTTGTCAACTAACTTTAAGTGAATTTTTGTAATGACTACATGAATTCTTCCAAATGAGTCAAAAATAATCTGGAGTTTACCTTTTTAGGAAGAAGAAAAAAATCACCAAATAACCATTGTACCAAAATAAAACCGTAGACTCTTATTTTAAAACGAAAATTGGGTGCAAAGACTGCCCATCATCACTCAGTCATGATTATTCTCTTCGGAATTTCTTGGAATCATCTGTTAATCATAAGTTAGAAGAGACAGGGAATCGTCGAGTGAATATGATGAATACAATCAAGATTTGGTTATTAAAATCTTGAATTTGGAGAGGAAACATTGCGATGAAGAATAAGATCTCAAAGGTGGAAAGTGCCATTAAGGACCAAAATGCATATAATGAAGAATTAATATCGTTTTGTATGAATAGGATTGCTAATGGTTCGTTGATTAATAACAATGTTATTTAATATATTCACCCCAAGTGAATTAAATCTGAAGAATTAATATTTAAAGACTTTAAAGTTTCCGAATTAAAACCTAATGATATTAAAGGTTAGTGACGAATACTTTTACAAATATTAGCCTAAATATAGCCTACTACAGGCCTATTTTGGAAAATATTTAAACGAAATAAATAATTATGAAACATTATTTAAATTGACCAATTTAAATTAATTGTTATAACAATATTTATTTTAAATTTTCGAAGAAAGCCAAAACTTACTTCATATCCGGTTTAGGGTTGCAAAATACATTTCCATTGTTGGGCGGAGGCGGATTTTCGCAAATCGGAGGAGGATCTGAAACATTGATTTGGTTATTTCACTTTCAGCATAGAATACGGCTTTTCAATATTAAAAAAGAATAATAACTACTTCCGACAATGGCGTTAGCTAAGTTAAAATCGACAAGCTAAAAGAATTCTTCAGATAATAGGCCTACATTTAATTTTTCATACTGTATAGGTTCTTGTACAAAGTGTAATACAATTATTACAGCAAAACGTGTGTAGAGTTGTCACTGAGAAACAGAACATTTCCCCTTTCGTTTGATTACACTGTGGCGTTTAAAAATTACAAATGAAAATGACAAAGTTAAAAACAACTTTTTCAGCCGATTAAAGAAAAATATTACTAATTTTTTAAATAGTTTAAATATTTAAGATAACGAAAATGTTTGAATAAAACAATCATATTTAGGTATTATAATTATGAAGTCGCAGAGAATAGATTTCTGCATAGCTTCAGTAAGTCTAAAAAGACTTAGAAGCATATATTTTTGATACAGGAAGGAAAAAGTCACTCCTGCCCTCCCGAGATGTACCTGACAGAATTAAAAAACGTTTTTTACGGCTCGATCAACGGTAACGCTAAAAATTACAAGAATTAAGAGTGAATAATGTATATACTCGTAGTAAAAGTTTTGGTAAGGTTTTATAGTAGTGCAGTACGCGTTAGTGATAATTATTATAGTATCAAATGTATAGATTCAAGTCGCTTTACAGACAAATTGAGAAATAGAATTTCTTTAAATTGAATATGGTTAAAACTAATTTGTTTTACAGAATTTAACAAAAGTCTTTATTAAATGCGAAAATTTTTTAAAATGGTTACATTCATATAACGAGCAATTATTTATTGTGACATTGTTACAATGCCGGACTGCAATTTTTATCATATTTTTAATCTATTTAATTTAAAATATATGCTCTTCATCTCAAATTAGTAGTGTCTTGCCCATGTATATCATACTTTCCTGCTAGCAATAGAGTCGTGCCGGTCAAATATGTAACTCCATTCAGGGGAAAATTTTAAATTGAAATAACGAGATTTCTGGTGCATATCAGAACTCCTTATATAGTTAATCAGGGCCTGTTGCCCCTAAGCTTTCCATATCTGGTCTCGACTTTCATATATCTAACATATTTTCGAGTCTAAGGGAAGACAAACAGACAGACGACAGTGGAAGTTTATAGGTCTACAATTTTTTGAAATTAATGACCCCAATAAATGTTATATGGACATTTAGTTAAATCGGCAAAATATTTGAATACTTTCTTAACTGTCGATTCTCTACAAGGAAAATTAAATCATGATTTGAAATGTAATTATCGAAAGATTCAGATTAATTATTTATTTTAATTAATAACAAAATTTGTTTAGTTAACTCGAAGTAGTCTGCAAAGACGTGCATCGGTTACTAAGTAGCTTACTTGGATTTCTAGTATCGTTATATAAGTACTTTTTTCGTTATTTTCGATATATAACTTAAGAAATATAAAGTAATAAATATTGTTTTTCAGCTTCACAATTATTTGGGATATAAATTAACTTTATGCATAAATACATTTAATGTTGCTATATTTCACTCTTCGAAAACTCATTTATGTAATATAATTTACAGTAATTTCATTAATGTTTAAAACTTTCGTTATAACTGATAAAACGAGTTTTATTCTTGTCTTTATTAGACTTTAATTGGAAGTATTTTACATGGCAATTTTGTAGAAATTCTTGATGTAAAATATCTTTTAAAAATTTAATGAGTTTCAAATAATAATAAATTACTATTATTTTTTTGTTTTTTTTTTGTTTCGTAAAATCAAAATTATATTAAACTTTGCGCTTTTGTTTCAGTTTTGTAGCTTTTCGTTCTTAAAAATAAATAAAAAAAAACTTGCCTGCACCGGTACAAGAAGGAAACTTGTTGTAAGGAATCCATTTATTACTGTGAGTAAAACATTCTGTCATCATTTCGGTGGAACCATCCGGAAAATGATATCCTGGAGAACAGTAGGCTTTACAAACTCTTTAAAGAAAGAATTGTAGCATTTAATATTATGTAAATAGAACAAATAAAATATACACGGACACTAAAAGATGTTTAATAACAACTTTAAAATTTATTAGTATAATTTGTTAGAAATATTTTCGTTAGGTTAAAAAAATATATATATGTAAAATTATCAGGAAATTTTAATATTTTTAAAAATGTAAATACCATCGAGCAAGTTTTAATTTTTTCGTTAGTTTAATTTATCTCGGTCATAGTTACATATTTTATATTTTTCGAATGCCAAATATTTCAGATGTCAAATATTTCAAAACTCAAAACTAGAAAAATAAATTGGTAAAATCGATTTGCAAAATTTATTAGTCACTTTTTGCATTGAAATTTTTTATAATGAATATTTTTTTTTAATTTCATTATAAAAAATGACTTATATCGTACTTTTTAAATAATAAGTTTTATAGGTTGATGAATTTATATTTGGATCCTTCACTGAAATCTGTAGCACTATATAAGCATTGTAGCAATATTGTGGCTCAAAATTTTGTCAACTAACTTTAAGTGAATTTTTGTAATGACTACATGAATTCTTCCAAATGAGTCAAAAATAATCTGGAGTTTACCTTTTTAGGAAGAAGAAAAAAATCACCAAATAACCATTGTACCAAAATAAAACCGTAGACTCTTATTTTAAAACGAAAATTCGGGTGCAAAGACTGCCCATCATGACTAAGTCATGATTATTCTCTTCGGAATTTCTTGGAATCATCTGTTAATCATAAGTTAGAAGAGACAGGGAATCGTCGAGTGAATATGATGAATACAATCAAGATTTGGTTATTAAAATCTTGAATTTGGAGAGGAAACATTGCGATGAAGAATAAGATCTCAAAGGTGGAAAGTGCCATTAAGGACCAAAATGCATATAATGAAGAATTAATATCGTTTTGTATGAATAGGATTGCTAATGGTTCGTTGATTAATAACAATGTTATTTAATATATTCACCCCAAGTGAATTAAATCTGAAGAATTAATATTTAAAGACTTTAAAGTTTCCGAATTAAAACCTAATGATATTAAAGGTTAGTGACGAATACTTTTACAAATATTAGCCTAAATATAGCCTACTACAGGCCTATTTTGGAAAATATTTAAACGAAATAAATAATTATGAAACATTATTTAAATTGACCAATTTAAATTAATTGTTATAACAATATTTATTTTAAATTTTCGAAGAAAGCCAAAACTTACTTCATATCCGGTTTAGGGTTGCAAAATACATTTCCATTGTTGGGCGGAGGCGGATTTTCGCAAATCGGAGGAGGATCTGAAACATTGATTTGGTTATTTCACTTTCAGCATAGAATACGGCTTTTCAATATTAAAAAAGAATAATAACTACTTCCGACAATGGCGTTAGCTAAGTTAAAATCGACAAGCTAAAAGAATTCTTCAGATAATAGGCCTACATTTAATTTTTCATACTGTATAGGTTCTTGTACAAAGTGTAATACAATTATTACAGCAAAACGTGTGTAGAGTTGTCACTGAGAAACAGAACATTTCCCCTTTCGTTTGATTACACTGTGGCGTTTAAAAATTACAAATGAAAATGACAAAGTTAAAAACAACTTTTTCAGCCGATTAAAGAAAAATATTACTAATTTTTTAAATAGTTTAAATATTTAAGATAACGAAAATGTTTGAATAAAACAATCATATTTAGGTATTATAATTATGAAGTCGCAGAGAATAGATTTCTGCATAGCTTCAGTAAGTCTAAAAAGACTTAGAAGCATATATTTTTGATACAGGAAGGAAAAAGTCACTCCTGCCCTCCCGAGATGTACCTGACAGAATTAAAAAACGTTTTTTACGGCTCGATCAACGGTAATGCTAAAAATTACAAGAATTAAGAGTGAATAATGTATATACTCGTAGTAAAAGTTTTGGTAAGGTTTTATAGTAGTTCAGTACGCGTTAGTGATAATTATTATAGTATCAAATGTATAGATTCAAGTCGCTTTACAGACAAATTGAGAAATAGAATTTCTTTAAATTGAATATGGTTAAAACTAATTTGTTTTACAGAATTTAACAAAAGTCTTTATTAAATGCGAAAATTTTTTAAAATGGTTACATTCATATAACGAGCAATTATTTATTGTGACATTGTTACAATGCCGGACTGCAATTTTTATCATATTTTTAATCTATTTAATTTAAAATATATGCTCTTCATCTCAAATTAGTAGTGTCTTGCCCATGTATATCATACTTTCCTGCTAGCAATAGAGTCGTGCCGGTCAAATATGTAACTCCATTCAGGGGAAAATTTTAAATTGAAATAACGAGATTTCTGGTGCATATCAGAACTCCTTATATAGTTAATCAGGGCCTGTTGCCCCTAAGCTTTCCATATCTGGTCTCGACTTTCATATATCTAACATATTTTCGAGTCTAAGGGAAGACAAACAGACAGACGACAGTGGAAGTTTATAGGTCTACAATTTTTTGAAATTAATGACCCCAATAAATGTTATATGGACATTTAGTTAAATCGGCAAAATATTTGAATACTTTCTTAACTGTCGATTCTCTACAAGGAAAATTAAATCATGATTTGAAATGTAATTATCGAAAGATTCAGATTAATTATTTATTTTAATTAATAACAAAATTTGTTTAGTTAACTCGAAGTAGTCTGCAAAGACGTGCATCGGTTACTAAGTAGCTTACTTGGATTTCTAGTATCTTCATTGTCGAGTTTCTCTTCGTTATCATTATTAGGAGTATTGCCTGAAATAGATGTAAACAACGTTAAGAAAAAATAAATATTTTCTTCTGCAATAACAATTGAAGCGTACGTAAATTAGATTTTCTTAATATCTAGAATTATTTTTTAAATTAAATATTTTAATTCGAATCATTTGAATTGCTTTCAAATTTCCACTTATACTCTATTATAAAAATGAATAAATATAAAAACAGACTATAAAAATACGAGGAATCATTACGCCAGAAAATTATTACATTCCGTACAAAATTAAAATATTGTGAGTAAGGATTGAAAGGTTTGTACCTATCTCGTAGCACGGAGGAAAGACGCTACGAGGAGACCATTTTCCGGAAGTAAAGGAGCAAGTTAGCGTCATCGAGGTTATTCCATTAGAAAATGCGTAACCAGGATAGCAGGTTCCATTGCATTCTCTAAAAAATGTTGGAAAATAATTTAGCGAAAAAATACTATTATTCGTTCGAATCAAAAACAAATTATTATCACAATCTGATAAAATTAGTATATTACAGCATATAAGACACAACTTTTCCCAAAAAAAGGACAAAAAAGTATCATTCTGCATCTTATTTGTGAAGTCCCCGTAATATTTCGGGAAGGTGATCTATTCCGATACGTTGGACCCCGTCCCACACTTCCCAGCACCTATAGTGGCCTAGCCAAAGCCATAATGGGCTTGATAAAGGAAGAAGAAGAAGAAAAAAAGGCCCTCTTAACGTCCACAGGATGGAAAGTGTTTAAAAAAATCATTTATATAGGCCTATTTATATAGCAAAAGAGATTTTTGTTTAAAAAATATATCTTGTTATATAAATATATAATTGATTATGTTATATAAGTACTTTTTTCGTTATTTTCGATATATAACTTAAGAAATATAAAGTAATGAATATTGTTTTTCAGCTTCACAATTATTTGGGATATAAATTAACTTTATGCATAAATACATTTAATGTTGCTATATTTCACTCTTCGAAAACTCATTTATGTAATATAATTTACAGTAATTTCATTAATGTTTAAAACTTTCGTTATAACTGATAAAACGAGTTTTATTCTTGTCTTTATTAGACTTTAATTGGAAGTATTTTACATGGCAATTTTGTAGAAATTCTTGATGTAAAATGTCTTTTAAAAATTTAATGAGTTTCAAATAATAATAAATTACTATTATTTTTTTGTTTTTTTTTTGTTTCGTAAAATCAAAATTATATTAAACTTTGCGCTTTTGTTTCAGTTTTGTAGCTTTTCGTTCTTAAAAATAAATAAAAAAAAACTTGCCTGCACCGGTACAAGAAGGAAACTTGTTGTAAGGAATCCATTTATTACTGTGAGTAAAACATTCTGTCATCATTTCGGTGGAACCATCCGGAAAATGATATCCTGGAGAACAGTAGGCTTTACAAACTCTTTAAAGAAAGAATTGTAGCATTTAATATTATGTAAATAGAACAAATAAAATATACACGGACACTAAAAGATGTTTAATAACAACTTTAAAATTTATTAGTATAATTTGTTAGAAATATTTTCGTTAGGTTAAAAAAATATATATATGTAAAATTATCAGGAAATTTTAATATTTTTAAAAATGTAAATACCATCGAGCAAGTTTTAATTTTTTCGTTAGTTTAATTTATCTCGGTCATAGTTACATATTTTATATTTTTCGAATGCCAAATATTTCAGATGTCAAATATTTCAAAACTCAAAACTAGAAAAATAAATTGGTAAAATCGATTTGCAAAATTTATTAGTCACTTTTTGCATTGAAATTTTTTATAATGAATATTTTTTTTTAATTTCATTATAAAAAATGACTTATATCGTACTTTTTAAATAATAAGTTTTATAGGTTGATGAATTTATATTTGGATCCTTCACTGAAATCTGTAGCACTATATAAGCATTGTAGCAATATTGTGGCTCAAAATTTTGTCAACTAACTTTAAGTGAATTTTTGTAATGACTACATGAATTCTTCCAAATGAGTCAAAAATAATCTGGAGTTTACCTTTTTAGGAAGAAGAAAAAAATCACCAAATAACCATTGTACCAAAATAAAACCGTAGACTCTTATTTTAAAACGAAAATTCGGGTGCAAAGACTGCCCATCATGACTAAGTCATGATTATTCTCTTCGGAATTTCTTGGAATCATCTGTTAATCATAAGTTAGAAGAGACAGGGAATCGTCGAGTGAATATGATGAATACAATCAAGATTTGGTTATTAAAATCTTGAATTTGGAGAGGAAACATTGCGATGAAGAATAAGATCTCAAAGGTGGAAAGTGCCATTAAGGACCAAAATGCATATAATGAAGAATTAATATCGTTTTGTATGAATAGGATTGCTAATGGTTCGTTGATTAATAACAATGTTATTTAATATATTCACCCCAAGTGAATTAAATCTGAAGAATTAATATTTAAAGACTTTAAAGTTTCCGAATTAAAACCTAATGATATTAAAGGTTAGTGACGAATACTTTTACAAATATTAGCCTAAATATAGCCTACTACAGGCCTATTTTGGAAAATATTTAAACGAAATAAATAATTATGAAACATTATTTAAATTGACCAATTTAAATTAATTGTTATAACAATATTTATTTTAAATTTTCGAAGAAAGCCAAAACTTACTTCATATCCGGTTTAGGGTTGCAAAATACATTTCCATTGTTGGGCGGAGGCGGATTTTCGCAAATCGGAGGAGGATCTGAAACATTGATTTGGTTATTTCACTTTCAGCATAGAATACGGCTTTTCAATATTAAAAAAGAATAATAACTACTTCCGACAATGGCGTTAGCTAAGTTAAAATCGACAAGCTAAAAGAATTCTTCAGATAATAGGCCTACATTTAATTTTTCATACTGTATAGGTTCTTGTACAAAGTGTAATACAATTATTACAGCAAAACGTGTGTAGAGTTGTCACTGAGAAACAGAACATTTCCCCTTTCGTTTGATTACACTGTGGCGTTTAAAAATTACAAATGAAAATGACAAAGTTAAAAACAACTTTTTCAGCCGATTAAAGAAAAATATTACTAATTTTTTAAATAGTTTAAATATTTAAGATAACGAAAATGTTTGAATAAAACAATCATATTTAGGTATTATAATTATGAAGTCGCAGAGAATAGATTTCTGCATAGCTTCAGTAAGTCTAAAAAGACTTAGAAGCATATATTTTTGATACAGGAAGGAAAAAGTCACTCCTGCCCTCCCGAGATGTACCTGACAGAATTAAAAAACGTTTTTTACGGCTCGATCAACGGTAATGCTAAAAATTACAAGAATTAAGAGTGAATAATGTATATACTCGTAGTAAAAGTTTTGGTAAGGTTTTATAGTAGTTCAGTACGCGTTAGTGATAATTATTATAGTATCAAATGTATAGATTCAAGTCGCTTTACAGACAAATTGAGAAATAGAATTTCTTTAAATTGAATATGGTTAAAACTAATTTGTTTTACAGAATTTAACAAAAGTCTTTATTAAATGCGAAAATTTTTTAAAATGGTTACATTCATATAACGAGCAATTATTTATTGTGACATTGTTACAATGCCGGACTGCAATTTTTATCATATTTTTAATCTATTTAATTTAAAATATATGCTCTTCATCTCAAATTAGTAGTGTCTTGCCCATGTATATCATACTTTCCTGCTAGCAATAGAGTCGTGCCGGTCAAATATGTAACTCCATTCAGGGGAAAATTTTAAATTGAAATAACGAGATTTCTGGTGCATATCAGAACTCCTTATATAGTTAATCAGGGCCTGTTGCCCCTAAGCTTTCCATATCTGGTCTCGACTTTCATATATCTAACATATTTTCGAGTCTAAGGGAAGACAAACAGACAGACGACAGTGGAAGTTTATAGGTCTACAATTTTTTGAAATTAATGACCCCAATAAATGTTATATGGACATTTAGTTAAATCGGCAAAATATTTGAATACTTTCTTAACTGTCGATTCTCTACAAGGAAAATTAAATCATGATTTGAAATGTAATTATCGAAAGATTCAGATTAATTATTTATTTTAATTAATAACAAAATTTGTTTAGTTAACTCGNCTCATCCGATTTCAAAAATTCTTTCACCAATATTTAGAATGGAACCTCAGGGTGGACATAGGCTGTATATTATTCCGTTAAACATTCATATAAATTAAAATATATAATCTAGGTTAAGGCTTTTATGTCCAACAGATACCGCTACGAGTACGACGCCCTAAGTTTGCTTTTCTGTGAGGCATTATGCTTTTCTGTGAAAATGAACTAAAGCGGATCATCATCTATCTATCTATATAAATAAAAATGTAATGTTCGTTTGTTCCTACCGATTCCTTTGAAATTTTGACACAACGCTGCATTCGAATACGCACATGTTTTTTATATAATATATATGTCGAAATTCCCCCCACTAAAGGGAGATGGTTAGGATTAAGGCTTATCGTAAAGAACTCTGCTTCTATTTATACTATTGTAGATGCGGTTTTTTGCGTTTTAATAGGGTACGTCAACAGAATGTACACTAAGAAGAAATTTTCGAAAAATCCCCCCCTCGGGGAAGTGTTATAAATTTATAATAGATACATTTTGAGCCACAACAACGCGTGGCGGGGTCTGCTAGTATTTAAATACTTTCTTAACTGTCGATACTCTACGAGGAAAATTAAATCATGATTTAAAATGTAATTATCGAAAGATTCAGATTAATTATTTATTTTAATTAATAACAAAATTTGTTTAGTTAACTCGAAGTAGAGCCTGCAAAGACGTGCATCGGTTACTAAGTAGCTTACTTGGATTTCTAGTATCTTCATTGTCGAGTTTCTCTTCGTTATCATTATTAGGAGTATTGCCTGAAATAGATGTGAACAACGTTAAAAAAATAAATATTTTCTTCTGCAATAACAATTGAAGCATACGTAAATTAGATTTTCTTAATATCTAGAATTATTTTTTAAATTAAATATTTTAATTCGAATCATTTGAATTGCTTTCAAATTTCCACTTATACTCTATTATAAAAATGAATAAATATAAAAACAGACTATAAAAATACGAGGAATCATTACGCCAGAAAATTATTACATTCCGTACAAAATTAAAATATTGTGAGTAAGGATTGAAAGGTTTGTACCTATCTCGTAGCACGGAGGAAAGACGCTACGAGGAGACCATTTTCCGGAAGTAAAGGAGCAAGTTAGCGTCATCGAGGTTATTCCGTTAGAAAAAGCGTAATCGGGCATGCAGGTTCCAGTGCATTCTCTAAAAAAGTTAGAAAAATAATTTAGCGCAAAAAATACAATTATTCGTTCGAATCAACAAGCAAATTGTTATCACAATCACTGATAAAATTTGCGGTCAATTGAGTCGAAGACTTACAAAGCGTGAGAACGATTTAAACAAGAGAGATATCCGGTGAGCGGAGGATTGGGTTTCCGACATCTATTTTCGATGGCTGCAAAAATATTGCAATAAAAGTTTTAAGAGAATTTACATTTAAAAGAAGAAAATAAGTTGTACTCGAAATTTTATTTATTTATATTTATACTTTATTTTATTTTATTATTNGAATTTTGAAAAAAACAAATTTGCTGATTAAATACGGACAACCGTTTAACTGAAGTAAAACGGGTTTTCCCCTTGCTATGGATGTCTGCCTAGTTCAGTTCAGCCACATTCCGCTACAGTTCGCCTTTATTATCAGTTCGAAATGGGGTGGTTCCATAATACCCGCAGTGTTCCATAATACCACCTTCTCCTCTACTTATTATGAATACAAGTTATACTCGAAAGTTTATTTATTTATTTATTTTTATTCAATTATAACAAATGATCTGGAAATGTAACTTTAAATTAATCGTTAGATACTCGTTTAGCCATTATTTTTCACTTTTGCTGTTGGAAATTGTCCAAAAGACTTTAACATAAAAGAAAAAGTATAATTTTGAATTTCTTTTGCGCATTTTCATTTTGAAGCAAAACTTTACAAATAAATAGCTATATATATAGCAATTTATATTTAATAGCTATAGAAACTATATTAGTAGGTTTTTTGATTCAAATTTTCATAAATAAATAAAATAATTTGCTAGTACAGTATATGTTCTCAGTACTAATCAGTAGTGAATCGCGTTATTACTCATATTTCCTTTACTTTGCTAATGTTTGTATTGTTCTTATTCTGTGTAAGTTACTGGTTTTTTTATTTTTGGTTATTGAGAATGATTTTTACATATGGTCTTTAATAAAATAAACTGTGTTACTAATTTGATACTAAAGATAATAATGATACGTATTATTTTACGTAATTTTAGACAGCGAAACAATAGAAAACAATGGGATTGTCTAATTTTTCGAAACGCAGATGTTCTTAACATAACTAAAGTATAATACCCACTTTGGTTCTATTATAATGAATGTAATTTAATTATAAAACTCTACACATTTAAGCAAAAACATAATATTAGGCGAAAACAATATTAATATGCTTTTCGTTCATATTTATACATAAATAGAACTTTATCGGACTAAAACTTTAAATAAACAAAAATTTTAACTTTTGCAATTATTATTATTAGACTATTTGGTCTCGAGAACTAAACGTCTTCAATTTATTACTTGGTTTCTTTAGAATAAAGCATTAAGCCATTTTTTAAATTCTAAAATATTAATACTTTTACGTCGAGTTCATAATAGTTATGGTTTTAATTGTTTCATTATTAAGATTTCAATCTTTTTTTATACTTAATAACTTTCAAAATTAAGTTTCCAATTCTAATGGAAGGCATACTAAGAAATACAGCTATTAATTATTGAGTAAACTGTCTTAAAGGAGAGAAACATAATATATTCGTATTGGTCAACCTGCACTAAATATAAAAAGAAAAACACAGCGAATGTCCTATCTCGTAGCACGGAGGAAAGACGCTACGAGGAGACCATTTTCCGGAAGTAAAGGAGCAAGTTAGCGTCATCGAGGTTATTCCATTAGAAAATGCGTAACCAGGATAGCAGGTTCCATTGCATTCTCTAAAAAATGTTGGAAAATAATTTAGCGAAAAAATACTATTATTCGTTCGAATCAAAAACAAATTATTATCACAATCTGATAAAATCTGTGGTCAATTGAATCGAGCACTTACATAGTGTTTGAAGTTTTTAAACAGTTAACATATCCTTTACGCGGATTATCAAGTTCCGGACATTTCTTTTCGGTGGCTACAAAAATATTGCAATAAAAGTTTTAAGAGAATTTACATCGTAAGTATCTTAATTATTAATGTAGCATTGTGAATATTTAGTAAATTTTTTTTCAATAAATTAGTTCTATAATTAAAAAAGTACTTATTATGAATACAAGTTATACTCGAAAGTTTATTTATTTATTTATTTTTATTCAATTATAACAAATGATCTGGAAATGTAACTTTAAATTAATCGTTAGATACTCGTTTAGCCATTATTTTTCACTTTTGCTGTTGGAAATTGTCCAAAAGACTTTAACATAAAAGAAAAAGTATAATTTTGAATTTCTTTTGCGCATTTTCATTTTGAAGCAAAACTTTACAAATAAATAGCTATATATATAGCAATTTATATTTAATAGCTATAGAAACTATATTAGTAGGTTTTTTGATTCAAATTTTCATAAATAAATAAAATAATTTGCTAGTACAGTATATGTTCTCAGTACTAATCAGTAGTGAATCGCGTTATTACTCATATTTCCTTTACTTTGCTAATGTTTGTATTGTTCTTATTCTGTGTAAGTTACTGGTTTTTTTATTTTTGGTTATTGAGAATGATTTTTACATATGGTCTTTAATAAAATAAACTGTGTTACTAATTTGATACTAAAGATAATAATGATACGTATTATTTTACGTAATTTTAGACAGCGAAACAATAGAAAACAATGGGATTGTCTAATTTTTCGAAACGCAGATGTTCTTAACATAACTAAAGTATAATACCCACTTTGGTTCTATTATAATGAATGTAATTTAATTATAAAACTCTACACATTTAAGCAAAAACATAATATTAGGCGAAAACAATATTAATATGCTTTTCGTTCATATTTATACATAAATAGAACTTTATCGGATTAGAACTTTAAATAAACAAAAATTTTAACTTTTGCAATTATTATTATTAGACTATTTGGTCTCGAGAACTAAACGTCTTCAATTTATTACTTGGTTTCTTTAGAATAAAGCATTAAGCCATTTTTTAAATTCTAAAATATTAATACTTTTACGTCGAGTTCATAATAGTTATGGTTTTAATTGTTTCATTATTAAGATTTCACAACTTTTTTTATACTTAATAACTTTCAAAATTAAGTTTCCAATTCTGATGGAAGGCATACTAAGGAATACAGCTATTAATTATTGACTAAACTATCTTAAATGAGAGAAACATAATATATTCGTATTGGTCAACCTGCACTAAATATAAAAAGAAAAAACAGCGAATGTTCTCGAAAATATTGAAAACTATATTGTTTCTAAATAGAACGAAGAGAAAACAAACTTTTAACAACGACACTTGCAGTTTAAATTAGCGTTAAAGATTTATTTTTTCTTCTTATTTTGATGCCACTCACTCGGAAGACGAACATTTCGAACAAAAGTTTTTATTTTTACTTGACAAATTCGTTCGGCACTTATCTCTGGCTTAACGATTTATGTCACGATAAGCAAGACGATTAGAAATCTCTGTTGTCCATTACAATTACTTTTNTTCACTTTTGCTGTTGGAAATTGTCCAAAAGACTTTAACATAAAAGAAAAAGTATAATTTTGAATTTCTTTTGCGCATTTTCATTTTGAAGCAAAACTTTACAAATAAATAGCTATATATATAGCAATTTATATTTAATAGCTATAGAAACTATATTAGTAGGTTTTTTGATTCAAATTTTCATAAATAAATAAAATAATTTGCTAGTACAGTATATGTTCTCAGTACTAATTAGTAGTGAATCCAGTTATTACTCATATTTCCTTTACTTTGCTAATGTTTGTATTGTTCTTATTCTGTGTAAGTTACTGGTTTTTTTATTTTTGGTTATTGAGAATGATTTTTACATATGGTCTTTAATAAAATAAACTGTGTTACTAATTTGATACTAAAGATAATAATGATACGTATTATTTTACGTAATTTTAGACAGCGAAACAATAGAAAACAATGGGACTGTCCAATTTTTCGAAACGATGTTCTTCACAGAACTAAAGTATAATACACACATTGGTTGTATTATAATGAATGTAACTTAATTATAAAACTCTACACATGTAAGCGAAAACAATATTAATATGCTTTTCGTTCATATTTAAACATAAATATAACTTTAATTGAACTAAAACTTTAAATAAACAAAAATTTTAACTTTGGCAAGTATTATTATTAGACTTTTTGGTCTCAAGAACTAGACGTCCTCAATTTGTTACTTGGTTTCTTTAGAACAGTGTTTCTCGACGGGGGCGATATCGCCCTCATGTGGGCGTTTTTCCATGTTGAGGGGACGATTAGTAACAATTTATATTTTGGGGGAGGAAAAACAATTTTCTGGGCGATATAGTAAAACATTATAGTAAGAATAATTAGATATTTTATTCGTTATATCGTACAATAATTAAACAAATAACATTATACTAGTCACTAGTCTATTCAACGCAGTACGAATTTAGCGTTAGCCTTGGCCCTCGGCATCGGAATTTTGAAGTGAAGGGGCGATACTACGTAACGTTCTATTGAAGAGGGCAATACTAAGTTGAAGGGGGTGACGATTCGTTAGAGGTTGAGAAACACTGCTTTAGAATAAAATATTAATCCAATTTTTAAATTCCAAAATACTTTTACGTCGAGTTCAAAATAGCTATGGTTTTAATTGTTTCATTATTAAGATTTCACAACTTTTTTTATACTTAATAACTTTCAAAATTAAGTTTCCAATTCTGATGGAAGGCATACTAAGGAATACAGCTATTAATTATTGACTAAACTATCTTAAATGAGAGAAACATAATATATTCGTATTGGTCAACCTGCACTAAATATAAAAAGAAAAAACAGCGAATGTTCTCGAAAATATTGAAAACTATATTGTTTCTAAATAGAACGAAGAGAAAACAAACTTTTAACAACGACACTTGCAGTTTAAATTAGCGTTAAAGATTTATTTTTTCTTCTTATTTTGATGCCACTTACTCGGAAGACGAACATTTCGAACAAAAGTTTTTATTTTTACTTGACAAATTCGTTCGGCACTTATCTCTGGCTTAACGATTTATGTCACGATAAACAAGACGATTGTAAATCTCAGTTGTCCATTACAATTACTTTTCTTGTCCAAATATTGAGTATTTGTGATGGACGGGAGTTTCGCAACTTGATTTCCACGTTCCATCAGTTGCGTGTAAATTATAATTTCTATTGACGAGATCTGGCATTTTTAAAATAATTGTAACTTTATTCGAATTACATACATATTAAAGTAAATGAGGTACCAAGTATCGGTTCGGGAAAATAATATATTAAGTAAAGGCATTAGTGTAAAAATATACACACATAAAAAGTACCTGTACACACGAAAAAAAGAATATGTACCGTATTTTACGAAATATAAGACGCAGCTTTTATCTTAAAAAATTGGCATGTCTTATAAGTGAAATTGCGATCTCCCATAGGCTAATGAATTCCTAAACGGCCTCCAATAGGTAAGCTACAGGCAATATCTAACTAGCTCAACTCTAATTAAACAAAGCATTATTAAAACATATAATTATTATTTGCTATATTCATGTAGAATATTTTGATAGAAAATTTTGATTATAAATGACTTATTTCGAACAATCTAAATAAATTCTATAATCTGAGAAGGATTTAGCCGTTTTCAGGTTATAGAATACTCGAAGACAGACAGACAATCAGACATGAATTCGAAAGTAGCCTACATCCTTTTTAGGACTATCCTGAATGTAGTTTCATACAAATCGGATCATGTGATACTCGAACAAACGGACAGACTTAAAGACAATGTCAGAAAGACGTGAATTCAATTTTATATAGGCCTACAGGTCTATAGATAAATCGAGAAATATAATAAAGGAAAAAAAGAAGCAGAAAAAACAACTCTATATTATTGCAAATTAACATAATTCGAAATACCTACAGTAAAAGAAAAAATACTAATAAAAGTAACCGTATCCGCGAATTAGAGTAACGAGGCTTTCGTTATATCAAATTTATACTTCAATTTTTAAAAAATTTCAATAATTTATTTTTAAAAAGGTCTAAATAGTCTTGTCTTACCTTCCAGTTCCAGATTTTCTTGAGTGAGTTTGTCATCGGTTTGATCTTCTTTAACTGAAAAAGACNATAATATATTAAGTAAAGGTATTCGTGTGAAAATATACACACATAAAAATGTACCTGTACACACGAAAAAAGAATATGTACCGTATTTTACGAAATATAAGACGCAGCTTTTATCTTAAAAAATTGGCATGTCTTTTAAGTGAAATTGCGATCTCCCATAGGCTAATGAATTCCTGAACGGCCTCCAATAGGTAAGCTGCAGGCAATATCTAACTAGCTCAACTCTAATTAAACAAAGCATTATCCATTTAAAACATATTATTATTATTATTTGCTGTATTCACGTAGAATGTTTTGATGGTAAATTTTGATTATAAATGACTTTTTTCGAACACCTCTTTCCCCTGCGAAATCAATGTGCACATTGTAATTTTACTTTGTTTTTTCCAGAATATAGTTTAAAAAAGAAAATTTCGAGACATGATGTCTAAGGCGCGGTAATGGCTTAATTAAATACGCTAAATACTTTTTTCTAAATATTCTGATCTGATATGGGGTGCATCTTATATGCAATAAAATATAAGTTTAAATATATTATATAAAATAAATTTGTCTTCAAATTTATTTTATATAATTGCCATCCGACGAAATTCTACTTATGAAAATTTTTTGCAAAGATTCGTCATCAGGGGGCAGCTAAAAATCTACATTTACAAGCGCCTATTCTCTAGTAGATATAAAGCTGTAATATCCTCAAGCGGTAAGGATGGTCCACCAGTGGCCCTTGTCTTTGTCTCTGAATACTGGAGTTGGATTCGCGCCTCGCTCGCTCGCTCGGACAGGCTGGCCACTTGGAGTTTTCCAAGTTTACTCCACGTCTGTTACTCCTAAATAGCGACCAGTTTCCCTTGAAAGACCCAAGTCATTATTGTCCCGTGCGCGTAAGGCCGGCTACATCGGACGCATCAAGATAGATGGACGCATCATCGGATGTTCCATCATCGTATCTTTGGAGTCATAGCCTCAGGAGCTGCATACTCCATATGAACAACGTTGGAATAAAATAAAAGTAATAAGGATAGAAAGAAAGAAGACGTCTGTAATATCGCCAATTCCAATTTTGAAATTTGTATTTTTGATTGGATATTTTTCTGTGTTTTTTACAGGACGTTTTAATTTTGACGGCCAAGTAGGCCTAATCTACAAAGAAAAGTCGGTCGTCAAAGTTTCTGTATGCCGGAATACAAAGTGAACAAATGGTGATTCCTTTTTTGGACGGACTTTGTCTTCAAATTTATTTTGTAATTCTAATTATATAAAATTTAAGTTTATCGATTAAATAATTAAAATAATATCGAATTATAATAGAAATTTAATTTATATTATTACATAGATGATCGTCTATTAATTATTTGTATAGTTTTAAGGGGAAGGAGGGTCACGAAAATTACACCACTGTAGACGATAGGAAAAGAGGAGTCGAGACATCGTTTATGTCAGGGGTGTCCAACCCGCGGCCCGCGGGCCGCATGCGGCCCAAGGCAAGTTCCAATGCGGCCCAATAAACGTGTAAACAAAACCAAAAAATTGTTTTATTTTTGTTTTATTTATTTATTTCGACGGCATAAACTCAAAAAAGAAGTTTCACAAAGCCGTAAACTTTTATACATATTTAATTTTTGAGCGAAAAGGAAATATTTTCAAATACCTGGAGATGTGTGAATGACGAAGAAATACTGAATAAAGCTGAAGTTGTGACTCAAAGGAGTATAGACCCAAATTTGAAAAAAGGAGAGAAAGGCCAAAAGAAAAAAAGTGGTGAAAAAGGTTAAATAGACTTTTGTTATGCAAATATCGACTTTAATTTTCCAATCTTCCTCACTACTTTTATCTTTCGGCCTTTCTCTACTTTTTCTCAAATTTGGGTCTATAATCCTTTAAGTTCCAACTCCAGCATTATTTAATATTCTTTCCAGCATTGCAAGATTTGGCTACTCTGCGACAAATTTGGCTACCCTTTTTTTAGTTTGGCGTAAAAATTATCATTTTGCGCATTGGCTACTTTCTAGGTTACATATTATTTATAAATATATTAGTCGAATAAAAATGCACTTTAAAATGGTGTTTTGTCGTTTTTTATTAATTAGAGACCAGAATAGAACAAATATTTGTGTTTTTCAAGTAAATTTTTGTCTGTTTCCTTTATAATAGATGAATTTATTTAATTCTAAGTAAAAATTGGAAGAGTCTGTAGAAGTAAATTTTTAAAATATCCTTTTTCGTGATAAAGTTTTAATACTTATTACTATAATCCTTGCTAATCCTTAAATATACTTGTATATTTAAGGATTGGGTCACAAATATATTATATAGGCCTATACTTGTGGCCCAAAACTCCATGACGTCTTCCAATGTGGCCCAAAGGAACGAAAAGGTTGGACACCCCTGGTTTATGTGGACCTTTTTAGTGGTGTTAGTGGCATATGAACTTGTTCTTATAAGTCTACTTACTAGTCATGTAAATAAACTATCAGTTAGAAAATGTTCACAGAACTGTAATTATTTCTTCGGTGTGGAGATTTATAAAATGTAATTAAATTAAAACACTATAAACCATGTAATCCACTATGCATAGAATTAAAAGAGAGGAAGTTTATCAAAAGTACTGTACCTGTACAGTACATCATCGCACACAACAAGAAGGAAGGAACTCAAAAGTGGCTCAAAAACTGTTACGCAATTCCTAAATTGGAAATAAAACGTTTCTACTCAGAACCGTCAATCGACGAATAAATCGCCACGAGAATCATCAAAAATGTTTCTTTACCGTAGATTGCGTTTTTACAGGATTTAGCTATGTAAAGCATCGCAATGATTCTCTCAAACGCAGCCTCCTCTTTTCTTTTATCCTAAAAATTATCACAGTAGAAGTTCGTTAATTTAACCTATGGGACAAGAGTTAGTGTCGGCTTATAAAAAATTACGCATCACCAGAAGTTTTGTATTTTCGCAAACTTCAATAAATTTTATGCGGTCTGAACGTTACAGATATTGCTGTGGATTTTATACCAACGCAGGCTTCCGATTTGATTACGCAAGTTTAATCAGAAATTGGTTGACTAAAAAAATTAATAAAGATATCCCAGAGACACATTTACATTAATTCAATTGCCTTTATGTTATTATTTACTATATTTTTTTATATTATTGTCTATTTAGGACTTATCATATTATTAGGATTTATTATACTGCAGAAATAGAACAACAGTATAATAAGTCCTAAGTAGACATTAACGTAATAAACATATTTACATTCCTTACCTTGTTATGGAACTTGGAATATTTTAATTGGTCTGTTTTTATAAACTGGTATTATATCAATGTTAACATATTTCATGTTATTATTGATATAATACCAGTTTATAAAACAGTGTTAAAAACTGATTTCATGTAATGTATTATATTTTTATATTATATATATTACATTATATTACATATATATTATATATTACAAAAAAAGTTTTAAAATCTTATACTGGCTTATAGATTACTATAAGCCAGTATAAGATTTTTAAAACTTTTTTTGCTATCTGGGCACTAAGAGAGTCTCTTTTAGCGAGCTCATTATGGTTTCGGCCAAGTCCACAATGGGGCAGCCGGGTGGTGAGGGACAGGGCCCGACATATCCAGAAAGGAGCACACCAAAGAATTGTTGGGTTTTTCGACCCACCAAGATTCGCTTCCGAATTCACCAGAGCGGTAGGCTTCCATCTTAACCATTTGGCCGCCGCCTTAATCATTTTGCCATACGGCCGCATACATTGTAATAATGTAATTACAACTACAACTGTAATTTCCCATTGATTTAGAATGGAGCTCGCGCTCCACTATGGCCACGCCCTATAGTTTGAGAACCACTGTTATAAACTTATCTCTTTGTTTTAGAATTCCAGATTAGAATTCTATGCGATTCTCATATTTACGATTTAAATTAATACACATATCTATTTATTTACATCGATATATATATATATTTACATCGATGACAAGATAATTCATTGATAATAAAGGTTCTTTTTATTAGATATATTAAATTATTTAAATTCTATTTTATAACTTGGTAAAAATTTTTGCCATTTTTAATTGAAATTTTATATCTTTGTTAATTAATTTATTTAAAATTTAGTGAAGAATTAACAATAATTAAATTATTTAAATATAAATGTAAGTATATTTGAATTTAAATTAAATGTCAAGCGGTTATATGAGATACAACAAAATTTTCTACGTGTAGTTTTATAATGTAGTCTATATCGTAATCACAATAGAAATGATAAAAACGAACGTCGAAAATTGCATTGGGAAAAAATAAATGAAAAAATGGAAATTTATCTTAAATGAATTTCAGAAAAATGCGTTATATGCAATTCAAGTATAAATTATTCATTATGATTTTTGTTATACTAAAAAAGGTTCAAAATCCATTGTTTCAAAAATACAAATATTTAAATAATTTTTCTGGAGAACATTATTCCTCGTCGTATCGAAAATGTGTTAAAAAATTATCAAATTAAATAAAATTTACCTCTGAAAGCTCCTCCAGATTGGTGAGATACAGTTTTTCCACCTTTTTTTCTATAAAAACAAATATTTCGGTTAGTTAGATCTCCGAAATTCATTATATTAACAAATATTGTTTATAACTTAATTCTAAATTGAAACGTGAGAAAAATATGTTCGATTATTTCAAATCTCAGTTTAAAATATTAATTGATAATTATTAGTAATTGTTTGGCAGAGCGTTTGGTAAAATAAAACATTAAACATAAAATATCTAGCATTAAAGCAATTTCAGACGAATGTAGTTACGAAACTATTGCGCTAAATGGTTAACTTAATTTATTTGTTGCGGCAATAGATAGATTTTTATAATTTAAATAATTAATCATGTAGCTTTTGAATATAAAGTTGAACCTGTCTATCTCGAATTTCAAAGCAATGAGAAAAAGGTTGGAGATACACAGGTTTCGAGATATAGTGGTTCTCACTGCCAGCCCGAGCAAACTCAACGCCCTAGGCAAATGACTTTGACGTCGCCCCATTTAAAAAAAATTCGCAACAATATAAAACACCGATGTAAAATAGAGTATCTAATTTTTATCCAATATGCAGCACACAATATCGCGATCGTGAGACTATGGCGCTACTTTCAAAATGGCGACTCACGGGTAAATACGTGAGAAAGAATAGAGATCAAAAACATTTATTTTTTCATTATTCATTGTAATTTATGCATGTACTTTCGTCATGCCGCCCCACCCGAATTCAAACGCCCTAGGCTATCGCCTAGTTCGCCTATATGAACTATAGGCCCTGGTGGTTCCTGTACAGTAAACAGTAACAGGTTTTAATGGAGTACGGTATTTTATTAATACAATAGCAAGTACAGTAAATACCTGTATTACGGATAAATAAAGCGTTTTTGACATCCCTTAACAAAAATAGTTTGTCAATATTTTCCGATGCCCGATTTTTTTTCAATTAAGATTTAAGCCAAACTCGTAACCAATCAGAGAAAAGCAGAGTTAATTAGTAAGAGCTATGTACTATATTGCAAGAAATGTTTCTCAACTACAAATACTCAGTAACTCTATCTATGCTATCAAAATAGAGGTACTGGGCTTTGAAATTGTAATTGACAGTTTAATAAGTGATTAAATTACGTTTTTATAATTTGTTTTATTAAAGTAAAACAGACTGTAATATTCTTACGCGAGGTTTTTATCGTAAGTTTAAAGATTTGTGCATGTCGTCTTTATCAGTTAGCGACGACTTCACTCTATAGTCTCTGCCGTGGCTTAGTTCTTCGAGATGTGGTCGAAAAACTAAAAATTGCCATTAAAACAAACGGTAAGATGTTTTGCGTATCTACCAGGTAAAAATTTTACTAAAATTTAAGCGAAACTGAAAAAGCCAACGTCGAAATTCGTTATGAAGTGTTTTAAACAGTCGTGTCGTTATATCTGTTGCAGAGAATAAAGCTGGATGAAAATAAATTTCAGTTATCAGAAATTTTTAGAAAGAATCACAAAGGACACAAATGCCCAAGAAAGATAATTTAGTAATTATAGAAATAAAATAAGAAAAATATTAGAACTAGACAATACTTAGAACTATAATTTATTATTACGAATTAGAAATAGTCATTGGTATTTTCTCTAATGCTTTATAAATTTCGTAAGACACTTGCTTTTGTAGTCTATGTGTTTACAGTATGTATACTTACATGCGTTTGCAATATAGATAATTATTTAAATACAAAAGATTAATAATTCCAAGTTAAAAAATATATTTAAAGCAAAAAACTTTTTAAATTAATTCATACGTGCGAAAAGTATTTTCATTTCGATAATAGTGAATCGTCCTAACGAACGATTGCTTAGTTAACATTCCAATGATGTAAAATATCTTGATGCACGAGAGATAAAAGATCAATTTTTTTTTTTTTTTTTTTTAATATTTTGAAAGGATGTTTTTAATTCTTTATTAACGATTACTAATAATTTCACCATTTTGATCAAAACATTATTTCCCTTTATTTATATTTATAATTAACTAGCTCCTTACATCCGGCGTTGTCCGGATTTATAAGAGGAAAATATCCGAGTTATTAGATGTGAAAAACCAAATATAAAAGCCAAATATTATATTATTCTACGATTTTCACAGTGTAGGTTACACTGTGTAGCCTATTTTCGACTCGACGCACGTGAGTGCTATGGGCTACCCATCGCAGTAATAATATAGTTCGTCTATTTTGCGTTATATCATTGTCCCAGTTATCAAGTGAATAAAATATTTGCCCTTTTTAAAAAATTATATCTTTTTTGTATGAATTATATTTAATTTATTATTTTAAATTTTTTGCCAACAGATGACGATATACATGTAAAGCTGTACTGTACAGTAGGCAGATATTAACTGATATATAGAAATTATATCAAAATTTTGGGATGGAATGTATGTACTAAGTTGGGGTGGAATGTATTATCTACGTTAGAAGTATGTTAACGTAATTACCGAGTTTTATAACAATTAGTCGAACAGTTTAGGAGTGCATTGGGAACAAACAACGTCCTCATTTAAATACAGTATATAGTGTTTTAATAAATCAATTCAATGAATTTATTTATTGAAAGATTCCGGCACGATTATTTCGAGCTATAACACAATATTTTGTTCTAAAAGTATAGGAGCATCCCGGAAAAGAAAATAGAACCCGAACGATAACAGAGAAAACACGACGAGCATTTTACTTCAACTAAACTAGATTTTTAGAGTTAATGAGCACTTATGTAATAATATCTTATTAGCACGTAAAAAATTATCAAGCTCAAGAGCGAATTCATAAACTTATGAATATTTGATGAACAGAATACGAATATCAGGAAATAAGTTACAGCTATCAATGTCTAAATATTTATTAAATAAATACCAATTTCTCGAATTTTTTCACCTTATTTATTCTTTTACCGTATGTAATCGATTTTTGCAAAATTTTAATGAAATCATTGAACTCCAGTTAGTTTATAATAATAAACATATCTCTATTTACACGATGCACGCAATTAGAGAATGGCATTAGCATAGATTTAAAGCATCCAATTAGGCTAATTCAGTTTTACAATTACAGCGAGTTCTAAACCGCTCAAGTTTCGAAATTAGATAAGAGGATCAAAGCTTAAAAAAAATATGAAACGTATGACAACCTCTTGAAAATTAAGTAGTAAGAAAGATTTTTTCTGGATCAAACATCCCAGATTATCGGATTCCATTGTAGATCGCTGTTTTTTCCTATTCCCAGTCCAAAAAGTTCAACGAAAGTTTCTTTTCTTCTGCCCATTCAGTCGGAAATATTATGAGGAGGATCAAATCTATCATATAATTTTCTTTTAAGACATTTAATTACGGATCGTTAAGAAAAACGCTAATATAATGAGTTTTTATAGACTACTTGTAGAAACGATTTTGATTAAATGATAGTTTTTAGTGTAATAGACTAATTTTTTGTATATTTTTTAATACTTTATTTTTCGGAATGCCGCCGATCCCAAATTAATATACAAATGTGTAGTTATACCAAAAAGTAAAAGGACGAAAAGAAACGAGAAAAGACTTACGTTTTAGCCGCACTATTCGCTTGCACCAAACAAGCGACGATAAAGTAAATCACAACACGGCGTAATCCTAAAGGCATGCTTCCTCAATTCTACTTCCCATCAAGTCATTCCTAAGCTCGGCTTTATAATATCCTTTTCTTACGTCTTATCGAAATCGAGTACCGGATTGGACCGTCGATAATCGTCGGAATTTACGTAACCGCCGATGCGACGACGGATACGTTCCGAATAACCCCCAAAAATTTCGTTACGTAACGACCTATTCGATAAATGTATAATTTTATTTAGTCATTGGTAAAGAAAATTTATTTGTTTGGTTAAGTAGAAGAAAATTACACGGTTAATGACTTAATATTTATCTAACGAATTTTTGACGCGTTGAATTCTTTTTAACGTAGAAATTTCCTACGGACAGGCAAGTTTTCGAAAGATCTGAGTAAAATTTCGAGTGTCTTACTTTATTTTGACAAATATTTTGTTACAATTTCATAAGAACATTTTCCAATTTTTTGTGTCAACTTTTACCATTATTTTCGCGCCTCTCTTACATTATTTCTCGTTTCATTCACAAAAGTATTCGAATTTATGGAAATATTTTATGAATTATTATTGTATCGATAAGTGTCCGGTTTTTTTTTTTTATTTTTTTTATTCCAAAATTTGAAAATAAACTCCTTCAGTTTTGTTTAGCCTAGAAAATAATGTATTAAAAATTTTCCGTAGAAAGAGTAGATAATAGACGATGGTTTATCGACTCATGGTTAAAAATAAAGATAGAAATGTAGTTGAAAATTCGACAAAAAATGTGAATAATAATGTTAAATTTTTAAATAAACTTTTGTTTCTTAAGATTGTCGCTTTTTTAAAGCACAATTTTTCTATATTTCTCTTATTTTACTTTCGTGTTAAATTCTTCGTCAAAGTACGAAACATCTATTCCGAAATCTTCTATCTTGTCTTAAAATAACCATGATCACGAAAAAAAAACTGACGATGATTAAGTTAGAAAAATTTGCAAGTTATTAAATATTATAAATTCTGTTCCGAATGGTATTGTACGAAACTTTAATAAATTTCTGTTTTCAAAAGGACGATCATTAAATTACGATTTTAATTAAAATATGAATACAGAATAGCGAAATGTTTCTACAACATTAAAGTTATTATTGTTTAATCGTAATCGTAATTGATTACTTCTCAGTGTAATTAACTATCGTAAATTCGATAGTTAATTACACTGAGAAGTAATCAATTGTTATTAGGAAATTATTATTATTGTATGTTTAAAAATATAAAGCAAATTTTTGATTAAAACACATTTAAGACAATCTATCATTTAAATGTAATTAAAAATTTAGAAATGTCGAATTTTTCGGAAATGTGACTAGCACCACGAATGTCGGATTTCAGATTTTAGAAATTAGTCCCTAATATCTCAAAGAAGTTATTTTTTTAGTGCCCTTTTGTAATTATATTTTATCTTTTTCGTGATTATTGTATCTGTTCAACATTGGCTTAGAGTTTTACGTATGTACAGTACTGTACTGTCTGAATGCAAAAATATAATCATGGTTATATATGGAAATAATTAACCGGATTGCGCAGATATTTGCAATTTTATTTTAAAAAATTAAACAAGGTTTTGATTTTTTATTATTGTTTTAATAATTAAATACACAAAGTTTGTTGCTAATGAGGCCCGAAGCACTAAAATGCGCCTTAGAAAACTTGAAAAACATAATCTGATTAATTAGCATACAGTAAGAAGTCATCAACTTAAAATACAATATCAAACAAGTGAATAATTCCCAAAAAAGATGGGGTCCTATGGGAACCCCAGCTTAATAAACAACGTTGACTAAAATGCTTGGTATATTAACTAATGGTTAACTAACAAAGCAAGTGTTTGAAGGATATCAACGAGCAATTTCATCGAAAATGATGAGAAATTTAGAATGAGAAAAGTCGAAAAATTGAAAGTGTTCAGACCAGGGCGCCGCAGTAGACGAAGATTAAAGGTCCCGTTAATTCGTTCACTAATTTCTGGAACAGCGAATAAAATTTTCCGCAGTTCTCTCTAATTAATTCCGATTGACATTCCACCAATTTTCTCAGATTTCTGCGAACAACAAAAACGTTATTGAACGTAATTAAACTAGTTGAATTTAATTACAAAAAGTAATGAAATTCAGGATACTCACGAACAAATTTTAATCGAATTGTATTCGAAATCTTCGGAGAAAGACGAAAAGCATTTTTCGAAAGACACACTTTTTAAGCAGGATCGGGATTTTATCAGTTCTATTAAATTACGATAAGATCAGATTTAGGAAAAGTTAAAATGCGGTATAATTTTTTTGTATAATATTTATATAGATGTCAGTTAATATTAACGTTTTAAATTTAATATAAATTATTTTATTATTATTATTATTATGATGATAAATATTTAAGCTAGCTTACATAATAATGAAAGTTTAGTAATAAGTTATTCAAGATTGTTTCACATTTTCGTTATGTTAAATTGTATTCAATTNTCACCAATTAATTATATAGTTAGAATTATTATTATTTTCTTTGCTTATAAATAAAAAAGTAAAATATGCCCTTCAGGTAATCTTTATCAATAAAATTATGTATATATAATTCAATGCAAAAATTTGTTAATTACCAGATTAATTAACCAAGCACAATTGCTTCTAGTATAAAAGATGAAAATAATTTCCGAAAATGTTAGTATTACCTTGGGTTAACGATAAAAAGACAGGTATCCTAGTTCAGGATTCGGTCGACAAGGAACATTCCACCATGGCTGAGGACGAATTCTAGTCTTGGATGTAGAACTTTATAACAATTGGAAGAAGTTATGTTAAAATTATTAATTACCATTTAGTAAATTAACATAGCCACATTACGATGCCTCAGCACACCCATAGATATGCTATATTTGAGAAAATTAGAATGGAGAAAGATAACTTCCTTTAGAACAATCTTGCTTCTAATTTTCTCTCTTATCTACGATAAACTTCTAAAAAGTTAGAACTAAATGTGCAAAGCGTGCAAATAAGAAAAAAAAATTAAAAAAGAAAAAAGTACGCAGCCGACAGGATTCGAACCTGTGCGGGAATATCCCATTGGATTTCGAGTCCAACGCCTTAACCACTCGGCCACGACTGCGCCGGGGACTTAGATTTCATTAACTGTTAAAGTATGTGAAATGACATTTACCCGTTTGAAGAGATTCGTTGTTGCAGATATCTTTTTGCAAAGTGAAGAATCCGTAGAGAGCTGTCTTAAACAAAAGATTTTCGTCCGGAGAATTTTCTCCCCACGACTGACTGACATTCGACCGTTCTCTGAAATTTCAATTTTGATGTCATTTTATTTTGTATTTTTAAAACACACAGAAGTAAAAAGTTATAATTACAGACAAATTTTCTTCATTTCGGTTTCCGTCGTCGGGATATTTATCGAATATTTCGGGTTATTCAGCGCGAATCGAGATATTTTTTCGGAACAGTTTTCGGATAATCCGCAAAGGACTAAAAGAAATTTGTATTATTTAAGGTTGGCTAAAATAGACGACGGTCGGAAAGGACCTACCTGAAAAGGGAAGAGACAGAAATATAAAAATGACAAACAGAATTTCTCCCGCTTGCATTTTGCTTATCGTTTTGTCGAGTGCGGCTGCCAATATCGAAAGCGTAACCGTGACGACTAGATAAGATAACGAATATCTAGACAGTAAATAAATGTTTACGATTGTAGCAAATACGTAAATTTCAATAAGATAAATGTATAAATTTACTTAACGTTTAACGACGATTATAAAATTAAAACAGAATTCGAAGAGTTGTCATCGACTTCAAGTATTTTATTTCCCCTCTGCCAGATAATTTGGAAAAATAATGAACCTTCCATTTTACTTTCCCCGGCTGTTACGTATATAACAAGGATGTATGCAAATTAAAAAGTTCCAGAGCGTTAACCGACGTTTCGAGTTTGAATTGCCACCGTCTATGGAGTTTTTTATGGGCGAAGCGCAACTTTGTGGCGCAATATCTTCTGCAAAACGGCTTAAATGCACCAAAAATTACCTGTTTATTAGTAATCAGCACAAAGAAACTGTGCAAGTGTTCAAGAATTAGTCAGCGGTCAAAAAATTAATAATAATTTTCTTAGTTGTTTTGACGCCGTACATAGTCTAAAGTACAATTTAGATGTTAACAAAGTAAAAGACAAAACATCTGTAACGCCCTTAAAAAGACCTCCTGGAAGGCATCACCCTAGGGCCTAGGCAGATCGCATAAGTGTTGTATTGTCGAAACTTCAAATAAAATTATTCGTTTCCGATCATTAAAGAAGTAAATTTTCTAGATTGGGAAGCAAAAGAATTTAGAAGTCCAAATTCAACATATTTATTCTAAGAAAATGTTCTAAAAATTCGAGAAATAAGTAATTAATTTTAAATATAAAGTCACTATTTTCGTTCTTAAGGCATAATTATCTCTCCTCGCCAGTTGTTTCTTTCTTGGATTTTTCCTCTTCGTGGGCACCAAAAGAACATTTTTCCATACCCATTGCTAGTTCGACCAAGCCCACAATGAGGATGGCCGAGAGACGGAGCCCGACGTATTATTCGGAATACCATTGGATTGCGAACGCAGGACTAACTGTCAGTGTTCAATGGTTTTATCTGGAGATGTGCCAATACCTTTTTCTACATTATTTATTGGCATATAGTGCCGCATGGCATTACTAGGAAATTCAATCCACGAATACTCGAATATAACGTTGATAAAAAAATTAATTCAAATACTACGAATTTATTTTTTTAATCGCCCTCTTCGCTTCCTCACCACTTATGGTTGAATTTTCGACAAGAAAAGAAGCAGACTAGATCCTAGACGATTATGAATGAATTTTCGAAAACATTCTTCCAATGAGCGGATTTGTGAATAGCCTAATAGAATTTGTTTATTAGTGGCCCAACACCCAGCTCTCTTCGCTCGCTTTGCCTAATCGTTTCAAAATTTCGTGGCGATTAATTAATTCTTAATGCCACAATTTTTCTGTTCTTTATGTTTTTTTTTCTTTACTTTTCTTTCTTTCTTTCTTTTTGATAACTGAGAAAGTGTCGTGACGATTTTAAGCTAATTAAGTAATTAAACGACGGAAAGAATAGCAAAGACAAAGACTTTTACTCTTTGTGAATGCATTGTATTTTATATTTATTAATGAAGTATTAATTAATGTTATGAATATAAAGTTGCTCGGCTGTTTAGGATTTTAGTTTAAATTGCTACATTGAGATATTTTCGGCATCTAATCATAGGATAATTGCGATACAGTTAATTTCGTTAATATTAAACGAAATTAAATAAAGTTGGGCCTTATTGCCTAATGAAAAATATTTTATTTCTTATACTAATTTTTAAAAAAAAGAAAAAAAAAAAAAAAAAAAAAAAAAAAGATTACGTGAAGGGCATGGCTGAGGAATCGTCGAAAATTTTCATTTATTATATTGTTTATACACGTACTTACCTCCTGACTATGATGACAATTATTGTAATAGCTACTGCTAAGAAAACAAAACCTCCAAAGACACCAAGAGCAATAATACCTCCTAAGAATTTAATAATTTTAAGAACATTCAATCTGTTTCAAACATGTGTTAAAATATTTATTTATAAAGTTTTATATAAATTACTTACCCATATTAAGACGAGAAGAAAACAGAGAAGGACGTTTTGTTTGAGATCTTTTTCCATCCATACCCTTTGGGTGTGCTGTGACGATTGGGATATCGGTACCTAAGTTAGCTTTAGCCGAATACGAATATTCTTTTGTAATTAAAACTTAACAAAATAAATATCTGAGAAGTAGGTATCCCTCACCAAAAGGCATTACAACCTATTACCGAATAGTGCGAAAGTTTCCTCTTTCCACCAAGCAAACTTAAATATGTGTGAAGAATATTCTTAAATTGTATACCACGTGATAAAGTTATTCAAAAGATAAATTATTACGCATGTTAAGCGATAAAACATAAATCTGAGAAATATACAACAAGACATTTTCTATTCTGTCTATAAAACGAGCTAAAAGTAAATTGTGATGCAAATATGTCACAATTAGGTATACGTTATGTGATAGCAAGTAAATAAATAAAAGCATAAATATCCTAAAAGCAAAGAGAAAATTTATTTCTCATTATTTTTTAATATTACTCATGAACTCTAGTAATTTGAAATTGCTATTGTCTCCTATGATTATTACAGAAAAAACAACCTTAATGAAAGTGTACTTTGCAAATAATGGTGTAAAATTGATTGTCAATACCCAAAAGAAGTCGATTGGTTTCATTTATTCTACAATAATATTCCTCTTATGATCTCTAGAAAACAATTTCTAGAAAATAATTCTATAATTAAAATATTATTTAAAGTTAATACCAAAATTAATATTCTGTTTTCAAAATGTAACAGTAACATCCGGAAAATATCTTAATTCCTATTGCAAATATTCTAAATTTAAAAAAAATGTAAGCTACTACCGAAACATGCGTAATTATTCATCTTCAGGACTTTATTTTTCTTCTATGGATACATAATTTGCAGGATATTTTTATAAGTAACCTTTAAGCCAAAATTCCAAACCAAAATTAGTAAAAATCCCCAATAATTAAAGTTATAGAAAGTAAATATTTGAAATAATATAAGCAAATAGACCTTTCTAATAATTTTAACAATAGCCATAAACAAATTTAACATCGCGTTAAATAATATTTGCAATTTTTTATACAAATATATTTTAATATGTTTTATTTATTTTTTAAAAAAATTAAACATTACTTCTCAGTATTTAAGATTAATTTAAAAAAAAACAAATAAAATTCTCACCATAACATGTTGGAATTTTTCCTTCCCAATCACCACTGTCACCACAGATCAAAATAGAATCGCCTACCAATTTATAACCAACGTCACATTCATATACAACTTGCGATCCATAAGCAGTAGACTGTGACGTTAAATTTAAATGTCCTCGTAAGATGGAAGGAGGAGGTCTACATATAATGGCTAAATACAAAGAAAAAAATAGTTTTATAAAAACTTTATATGATAAATATAAAGTTTAAATGATATATAATGTACTTCCCGTATTCACAGGTCTGTGAAAATTGTGTATTAGATAAAACGTATAGTATAATTAATGAAATAAGGAAAAGAGAATAGACATAAGAAAATGAGGGAAAAAATTTGATTTATGTTCTCCTTATTAGGAAGAGGATGATATTTTGAGTATAAAACCATCGTTAAAAAATAAAAAAATACTTTAAAAGATGTCATCGTTCATTATAAGAATCTATGTTTGATATATCTAGAACAGGAAGAAAAAAACTTAAGCATCAGGAAAACAAGACGGAAACAAAACTTATTTAAATGCTTATAACAGAAACATTTGAATAAGTTTTGTTTTCCTGGAGAGGAAAAACAAGAAGAGTTAAAGGTTTGAGGAATAGAGACTAGAATTTTATAATTTTTTGAAATTGAGAATATAAGTTACATTAAAGAATTATACTTTTAAAAATATAAATTCTATAGACTCTTTTTAATACATCTTCAATGTTTTATATAGAAATATTACAAGTTTATCACTCTTATTAATATTTAAAAACATAATATTATGTAAATAATATTGACAATATGTCTCATTTCATATCGAACTAAGAAAAATCGTTTTGTGCCGAATTCGTGGCGAAAAGATGAACTATTTTATGTAGAAAACAATCTAATTATGTATTTTTTTATGTAATTCCTTTCTTTTAGTGCATTNAAAAAAAAATTATACGCGAGAATCGAACCCGAGAACTCAAGTTTATGAATCGGACTCGTTACCACTCTGCCACAGGACGCTCAAATAGAAATACGTATAATTTATACATAAAGTGCTAAAAAACTTTAAGCTCGATTTTCTTGATTATATTTGAGTATTGCACTTTAGTATTTTACAGGTAGTACACTCACATGGTGTACTACTTCTACACCAAAGATTGTCAAAATCCGTTACCCCAAAGCCGTAGGCTCTCCTTGTAAATAAGATTGGAGAATGAGAACGAGACCCGCCTTGAGCGTCAAAGTGATTCCTCCGCTTAGTAATGAGTCTCCGAGACATAGTCTCGTCCCAAATACGGCTTTGCCGTTTTACATGTTTATATTTATTTACGAAACTCGACGCGATCATTGCAATAAATGTCAGGCAGAAAGTAACGTTTTTGGAATAGGGCGACGTAAAAAAGTTATTATTTGAATATATTTTTTTTTTTCAGTTCGATGTCAATTAACAAGATTAGTAATTTCCGAGAGGACGATTGAAAAGGGAAGCAAAGGAGAAGAGGAAATATTGCCAACCAAATAACGATAAGCAATCAATTGAAACGGGAAACATCTCCGACTTGAAAGAGAAGATAATGCCCGTTGAGGAAACGTCTGACTTGCTTTCTTATTTTTCTCGATATGCATTTTTGTGCGTATTTTTACAGCACCCTGACAATCGAATCCAGGTTTTTTGTATCAACTGACTGCAATATAGAAAACTATAAGCAACATTGTGTATAAATCTTATTACCGCAATAAGATTACTTTTTCCTCTTTCTAATAACATTTATGTCTCGTTTACTTTTAATTATGTTTTACGTTGCGCAATATTTGTTAAAATTTTGGCATTTTATCGAGTTGACGAAACAACTCAAATCGGGTGAAAAATAAATGATGCCCGATTCGATGTCGCTCAAATATTCTTCCTTTTGTTTTGTATTAAAAAATCAAATGGCAAGAATCTTATTAAATTTGTAAAACAATATTTCTTTAAAACATAATTAGATACCCAAAACGATGTTAATTAATAACGAGTTTAACCGGTTCCAAGACCTTTCGGTAAAAATTAATTTTATAAAAGAAAAATTCGATAATAAAATTTCATGTAACTAATTTAGAATTATACTTATGAAGAATCTTTTCGACTTATTATTTCCTGAAATTACTTTAAAGTAAGACCATTACATCTCTTTCAATACAACAGAAGTTCGCGCGTGACTCCTAAACGTAGGACTCTTTCTTTCACTTACTTGTTAGTTATTTGATACCCATTTCGGATTTCTTAATCCTGATTAGTCTTATTCAAAAATGCACAAACATTTTCACAAAATAATTTCAATCCAAAAATTATTTAAAATGTAAATTTCAACATTGCGCATTTCGGACTTAATCGAGGACAACCGTGGTCTAACTTCCGACCTTTTCCTCGTTGTATCGAGGAAAATTTATGTAAGTGTTTTTATTTTAAATGTAGAAAACAGAAAATTAGTAACTTTCCATATTTTACATCGGAAAGTATTAAAGATAAACTAATTTTTGGCACAAAAATCTTTTTTTACGCACTATAATAAAATCCGTTTAAGGTTTTAACCAATTTGTCCGGCTTTATAAGTTATCATTACGAAATTACTAAAGTAGGAAAGTTGTGCGTATTTTAAAAATATATACCGTAAGTTAAAAATTAGTTCATTCAGACATTCACTAGTAAAAGCGAAATACGAAAATTGGTTTTTCTTGGATTTTTTGACGAATTTGGTTCTCACGAGATGAGAACCAAATTCGTATCCAATCAATTGAGAGTAATAGGAAACAAGAGTGATAACAATAGTTGGTAAGAATGCTGTCGTCTTCCATCTATTTATTAAAAAGAAAGAAAAAGAACAAACAAAAGATGGAGCATTGCTTATTTCGGTAAATAAATGGTCGTAGGTCGCATGTGTTATATTCGATGCTGTCATCTTGTATTTTCCATCTCTTTTTTGAGTTAACAGATCTATCATTGTGATTAGTGGGAATTATTTCGTTAGCGAAAAAAATCCAACACGTTGGACTGCCAACGCGATTGGCTAAACCACGGGTCGCCAAACTTTTTTCATTGTCGACTGAACTTTTCGAAACCTCACATCGACCCCCACCAAAAAATTTGTGTTACAAGAAAAAAAAAAAAGCTTTTACTACGAGGGTAGGCTGAAAAGTAATGCACACATGCTTGTAGAGCGTGGACGAAATGATTTTCAGAAGCGTGCCAGGTGGCATATGGAAGTAACATTCCCCCTCTATGCGCATGTGCAGTTTGAGGTTGTTGCGTTAATTCAGTATATTTTGAGAAGCGAAAATATGGAGACATGTTCTGGTACTATGTCAACGCGAGTTAAACAGCATGCTGTTATCGAATTTTTAACTGCTGAAAAAATTACGTTTAAAGGCTGTTTATGGTGACGATGCTGTTGATAGGTCTATTGTAAATTGATGGATAATAAAATTTCGTAATTGCGAGCCTGGAAAAGCCACAATTGTTGATGAAACACGCAGCGGAAGTCCGATCGCTGCCACAGACAATTACCGTTGCACCTTGTTCCAATGTTTAATTCTTCTCAGTACATACAGACTCTAAAACACCTCTGAAGTTGAGTTTGGCATGTTAGAGGCAGCCTGGCATCAATAATCTTGCAACATGACAATGCTCGTCCACACACCTCGTGCGTAACTGGAGAGGCTTTGTGAAACCTGAAGTTTAAACCGATTCCACACCCTCCTTATTCCCCCGATCTTGCGCCTTGTGATTTTTATTTGTTTCCTCTACTTATGAGAGACCTCAAGAGTAATCATTACACCTCAGACGATGAGGTGAAGGCAACTGTCAAGTCCTGGATTCGAGAAAAGTTGGACGAATTTTTAGACGGAATGAAAAAACTTGTTACACGTTGGGAGAAATGTGTTGACCTTAACGGTGACTATGTTGAAAAATAAATATATGATTTTGAAGCTTAAGAATTGTACTTTAATGTACTTTTTTCCCGAACTTGCTATTTGTTTTTGTTCGTGTTCTACAAGCATATGTGCATTGCTTTTCAGCCTACCCATGTATTTTAATACTGTACATTTCTTTTGATTTTACATTTTTTACATTTATTGTATAGGCCTGTATGTGAAATACTAGCTGACGTTATTAGCTGTAGAGATGCTAATAACGTCAGCGTACTACGAATCAGACACAAGCTTACGAATGCTGCGGATGACTTGACATGTAAGTAAGAACCAGAGCACGGACTCTACAATTTCCGTTTGTCCTGTGCGACTTGATCCGTAGCCATTTTACACGTTGACCGATAACTGTACTATTAAATTCATTGAAACAATATTCAAAGACATAATAATATGTATATTTATATTTGTGATTTTTAGTTTCAATTTTTCAATCGACCCCCAGGGGTCGATATCGTCCACTTTGGCGACCCCTGGGCTAAACAAACATTCGTCGGAAACGACGTTAATCTGTTTCGCTTTTTGCGTTTCGCCATCGAATTGTATTCGGTGTGAACTAACCATTAGTATTCAGCTTTAGCTAATTTTGTTATTATTTTGTGAAACGAGAATAGAGAAATGATCCGCCAATCCTACAGAAGTGAAGCAAGCATCATTGGATGAAGATGGCGGCTGACAAGAGAGAATTGAGATTATATTTATAATCTCAATTCTCTCTTGTCAGCCGCCATCTTCATCTTCATCTATAATGATATATTTTTCATTAAATTTATCATTTTATTTTTTTTTTAATTTTAAACTAACGCTTTTTATTCGCATAAATTTTTTACTTTTTATTCACTAAAAAGTAAAAAATTAATTTTTTTTCCAGCTCTTACAGTATATTTGGTATTGTGGCTATATACTTTTATTTTCATATCTGGAACATCGAATTATCGAAATTCTTCTTGGTTTAGTATTTAATTGGGAAGTGAGTTAAAATTGAGTTACAAGATTTTATGTAGACAGTAAGACTAAAAAGGGTTTTTTCTTTTATTAAACTTTTTCCGCCCTGTGAACACTAAGAGGGCCTGTTTTAGCAAGCCCATTATAGGTTCGGCCAGACAAACCCACAATTGGGCAACCGGGTGGTGAGAGACAGGGCCCGACATATCCGGATGGACCCGTTGAAATATACACCGATGGCTCGAAAGACAGTAACTCAGTAGGTGCTGCGTATTGCGTATTTTCTGACAGAGTACAAGTGTACCGGCAGTCAGATAGACTGAACGAGGAGGCGTCCACGTTCCAGGTGGAACTGTTGGCCCTGGAGAGGGCGTCCCAGTGGATCCTAAACACCCGGGACCAGAGCCGGTCACGGTTTACTCAGACAGTCGTAGCTTCAGGTCTTGAGCGACAGGTACCATAGAGATGTGTTGGTACAGGAGATCAGAGGTAAGTTGCTGAGGGCTCTATCTCTGATCTCCTGTACCAACGTTGCTCGTTACAACGTGCTCGTTGTAACGAGCAACGAGGATGGTGGAACCCTCGACTACTTACAGTGCATAAAAGGTATTCTACTGCAATGATAAATGACAAACTGACAAGAGCGCTGGACTCAAAATACAGTAGGTAGGCCTATGCCTTCGTGCCTAAAGCTGGCCGTACTCCAGTGTGTTGTAATTGGTTAACGACGCAAATACTGATCGGACACGGGAGGTTTCCCCATTTCAAGTGCAAATTTGGACAAGGAGATAGTAGCTGCTCTTGTGGGTGTCCTCGCAGTGACGCGAGGACTATGTATGTACTTGACTGAGCTCTTACTGAGGATTTTCGCCGAGGGGCTGGCCAAGTCGTTTGGTCCAAGCCGCTTGAACAAGTACTTAGAACGCTAGCAGCTAGTAAAGGAAACTTGAAGAAACTAAAGGACTTGATGGAAAAAGATAGATCTAAGAGATCTATCACTTTTTCCATCAAGCTCAGTGGACACACTGATCAAGATCCACCAACTTGTAGGGAAAAGGACCCCGCTGACCGTTAAAATGATGAGCTGAAGAGGCTGCACCATAAAACGTATGCCAGATAAGAGGGTTGGGCTTGAGAGAGCGGAAGGAGCCAGCATTTTGTTACTTTCAGGTCCAACTTAAAACAGTCCAAGACACCCAAAGAGGTATCAGACCAAGACCTATGATTAAGGCATAATCTCTTAAATATATTCCCTCTTATCTTATCTCTTAAATAATAATCCCTGTGATGCCATTTTGCGGGGCAGAGCAGAGTTCGCTTTATTGAGAGTTCGGATATGAGGACCATCATTAAAAAATTTTTGAAGCTTTTTCGACCCGTCCGGATGCGATAACAGGTCTTTCTACAGCGGTAGGCCGCTAGCTTGACCGCTCGGTCATCCGGCTGACGAAAAAGGGGTAAGGACTTGAGACAAACAGCACTCACAATTTACTAAGTTATATGTGGCGCCATCTGTTATCAGGTTTTGTTTACAAATTTTAATTTTTCGTTAATTTTTTTTGCTAATTGCTAAAATTATTTGAAATAGTTTAAAAATATATCACCGTCTAAAATACATATGAATGAAAAGTTTTAACTGGATTGGAAATTGGGTGAAAACTGAGTTACAAGAGTTTATCTTGACTTAATGTGTTCATTCGGTGTTGAAGTAAAAAGCGTATTTTAATAATATAAAATTAATATTAATAATTACGTATGTATGTATGTATGAGATATATACACCACAATCAATATATTCATGTATACAGTATATACAAAAATGTTTGATCTGTGTTTAGATAAAAGTATGATATAATATCAAATAGTGTTTCTCTAATTAAGTTTCACGTTTCGCTGTCAAGAAAAAAGGATTTTTCAAAATAATTGAATTTGTAAGATTAATTCTTTTGGAGTAAGATTTGAATTTCCTAAAGAGACTCCTTTTTTTAGAAATCTTGCGTTTCCTTACACTTTTCGTAAAAGTATATTGACTTGTAGTTATCTTAGGATGTAATTTATTTCAATAAAAGTAATTTTATTACAGCTTTTAATGGTACACAATCATATTTAAAAAATAAAAATAATATAGCACATCAGAGATAACGCTGAATATAATCATTGAATCATTAAAATTGAATTTCATTATAATCATAACCGAAATGATAACTTTTACCCATTGGTGTAACTAGGATGGGACAGGAGGAGTGTACCCTGGATATCAAATTTGAGGGGTGTCATTATAATTCGAAAAAACTTTTAAAAAAATGCACCTTTTTCCAAACATTTCATTATCCTAGAGTATAAACGCCCACTTTTCGAATTGCACCTAAATTCAGCCAGAATTAAAAAAAAAAAAACGATTTCTGTATTAATTAATCCTACAGTAGTAATTAATCCATTTGATTGCAATGTAACAACTTTAATGAAGTAATCACGAAGTTGATACTTTATTTAACGCTACATTGTGCCAAAACTCTTGTATAGAATATTGTTTACGTGAAGAAGTTGTACCCGAAAATAAACAATCCCAAAGTTTGAGAACCACTGGAGTAAGAAAATCTCATCCGGAATTCTGTTTTGCTTATAAATTCTGATCTGTTCAAGCGAATTATAGTTAAACGGGTAACCGGTTGTTACCGCCAGAGACAACTTTCTTATTTTAAAGTTACTACACGCGCCGAACGAAATATGTGCCACTTGTTAGGAATAAGAATTTATAATTTAATCGCGGTGCGTTCCTACGATCTGTTTAATAAATTTCGCCACTACAAATTGAGTTTGTAATATTTATAAAAATGCAATTTTATCGAATACAAATAACATTCAACGAAAAGCGCGCATTTGCTGTTTCGATTGGAAGTAACCGTTTATACTGGAACTCGACTACTGCCAATCAAAACGATCTGTAGTCGAAGCCATGATAAAAGCATTGGATCGATGATCAGATAACAGTGACGAACTTATCCGGTGGTACACAAGACACACGAATGTTTGTCGGTGCTCTTGTGTCCGGTGCGTTGAATCTGATGAAAGTAATGATGTTGTTGAGCAGAGTGTTCTCTGTAAGTTCCCGACTCGGAGCGATTGATGCTCTGACGGAAGATACGATGACCGTAACCCGTGATTTCCTCTTCACCCGTATGACGAGTTTCGGAGGCTGTCGAGGGATATCCTCCGTCCGGTTGGTGACCGAATCTCTCAGCGTCGGTGTCAAATTTGTCATAATTTTTGAAGTGATGGCGGTGGAGATCGTCGGATTCGGTCCGTTCCCCTTCTTCCTCCAACCGATCTAACAAACGAGATTCGTTTCGACTTTGTCGATGATCCGTGTTATTCAATAGACTTTGCTTAAGAATTCTGTCGTATAACCTTTTTTGTTCTTCTTCTCTTTTCATTTGCAATCTTTGCTCGTAACTTTCCTTTTCTAATTCCGAACCTCTAAACCGTTCTTTATCCATGTCACTATGTCGCGATTCCTCCGATTCGCTATCTTCAGCTCGTTCCTCGGCCTTAGCCAACCTTTGTTGTTCTTCGTTTGAATTTCGAATTAGAGAGTTTTCGGCTTGTCGTTGTAACCGTTGTTCGTAGTTCGTTGTGTGTTCGTTGGCTTGACTTTGTCGATATTGTTGTTCGTAATTACTTTGCGAAGCGTGACTAAGTTGCTGATTATAATCTAGATTTGAATATGTCGATCTTCCCGGTACGTTTGCTGCAAGTTAAGGTTGAAAGAATTAACTATTAGTATTAATTAATGTACAAATGCCCTTATAATTAAGTTTATTTTTAAATCTTTAATGCATTTTTTCAGTTAAAAATACCCAGAAACTAAATATACGAAGATTTGAGCTCGAATCTAAATATATAAAATTACTTGTCCTGACTGACTTAGTCACTGATTCATCATCGCCCAGAGCAAACCACTGAACCTAAAGAGGTGAAATTTGGTGCACAGTTAGGGTACGTCATGGATACGCACACTAAGAAGGGATTTTTCGAAATTCCCAAGCGGGGGGGGGAGAGGGAGAGCATTAAGGCTTAACTGGAAGAACGGCTTCTATTGTACTATTTTAGATGCGATTTTTTGTTTTTGACTGCGTTTTAGTAGGGTACGCCATGGGAATGCACACAAAGAAGGGATTTTTCGAAATTCTCCAGCGGGGGGGAGAGGGAGAGCATTAAGGCTTAACCTGAAGAACGACTTTTGAAATTGTTCCATACTTTCCCTTACATTGATAACATTTCAGACATTGTTATAAATATTTTCATATATTTCGATTTTTTAACCAAATGTTCGAACCGTTTTAAATTCGAATTTGTTATTGCATATTGGTTCGATTATAGAACGATTGTAAACGTTCCAGAAAATTGATCAAATTGAAAACAGTTTGTTTGATTATCGGCAATTCTCATCATTCTCAGCGGTAGGTGTTATATAACAATTCCTATGGTTGTTGAAATACTGAATATAAATGGGGTTTGCTTGCAAAACCTCCGCGGGCGAAGTCGCGGGTAACAGCTAGTAACAATATAATCTTACATACTTTGAATGAGCTCATTTTAATAAGTAGGATATATTATTAACTTACATCGACTATCTATACAATAGATCTTATTAGTTAATTAGAAAAGAACAACATAACGTAGTTCGTTACCTTCCACACATCTTGGTGTATATTGCGGAGTCCAAATTCCTTCCAAGCTACAACGGACGGTATCTAGTGAGGGGTTATCCATAACAGTTCCTTCGGGGCATCCCAATTTACAAACTGTCTCTTCCGAAGAATGGCTGCATCTGATGCTTCCGGCAAATCTCAAACGATGAGGATCGCAGTTTGAAAGAGCTTTAAAGTTTACACCAGTTTTAGTGTTAATTACTTTTAGGCACAATTTAAATATTTTAAAAATAATTTAAAATGAGTAAACAACTTAATGTTAACTTATATAATATGTAAACAATTCTACAAGTTGAATAAAGTATAGGCCTATGTCTACTATTTAATTAAGGTAATACAGTAATTTTCTAACTTCACGTAACGCGTTTTTAACTATGAATCACGGTCTCCCAGTAAATTTCTTCATTAAAATGATATGTTATATGATATAAAAACAAAATTTAAGACAAATCGTCACGTAGACACGGCCGAGACGATAAAAACGTCTTCTTTCCCATCCAAAAGACTCGGTTTCAGGTTTGAATTTCATACACTGTAATTTCTGCTACATTGGAGTTCCTCTTATCTCTCGTTCGTCCCTTGTCAAGTCTGGTCCAATTATCGGCAGATACGATAAAAGACCCTTCTCACTATCAACAGACCCAGAGGTAAAGGTAAAAAAATATTAAATTTTTCAAAATATTTAATGGACAGTTTGTCCCGGATATATCGGTCCCACCCTCACAATCCGGCCGCTCCCATTTTGGGCCTGAACGAACCCGCGAAGGTATGGAAAAAAAGTCATCTTAGTGATCACAAGGGAGAGAGTGTTAAAAGATGAGAAAAAGAAAGTTACTCGTCCAACGAATTAATTTGGTTCGATAAAAATAAATAGGAAAGCCAATCGTTCGACTTTTATCGTCGGCTTGTAAACAATTACATGGCTGAAGTTCCATGATTATTGATAAAATACAGAAAGATTTTTCAAGAATCCATCCAGAAATAGATTGTGGTTTTCGTTACATTATATAGTCTTATTATCTATATTACATTATTATCTATATAATGCAAACATGTAATGTTTGCATTATATAGAGACAAACAATAAAATAACTTAAGAAAAATTATTATTTTAATTCTACGTATTCACAATTACGTCACTTTGAAAATAGTTTCTTAATCTTTAAACTTATTTTAGCACAATAAAAACTGGATGAAGTATATATATATTGAGACGACATTTTCTATTAAAGTAAGAAGTTATTTTGTTTCAAAATGTTATGGTCGTTGAAATAATTGTACACTTACGATATTGGCAGAACTTTCCTCTGTATTTGACGGGGCAGAAACAGAAATTAGGAGCCGCGCAACTTCCTCCATTTTGACAGGGCCTTTCACAGACAGCTGTAATAAAATAACGTATGTTTGCAACTCTACCGGTTTAGTAACGTAGAAATGAAGGAAAAAAAAGTTTTATTACGTTGGCATTCAGTCAGGTAGTGAGTAGGAGTCCAAATACCAGTTCTGTTGTCGCAGGTTCTAATCTGTTCCGTCTGTCCATTAGCGTATCGATATCCATCGGCACATTTAGAAGTGCATTCCCTGTCCGTAACATTATTAATTATTATTAATAATATTTTTACACATATTAAGATGATAATAGCTTATTTCCAACAAATTAATCGTTTCATTCAGACAAATTGTATCGTTTAGTTTAGTTATCCGGTAACGTGATCCTTGGGCGATCTGCCCAGGGAGAATGCCTACCGGGAGGATTTTCTATCAGAAACTGGTCCCCATTTACGTGTTACAAACGTAAAGAAAACCCGGAAAAGTCTATGTGGCCAGCCCGTTGGCGTGACGCAAACCCACGACCAACTACCAGTGTTCAGTAGTTTTATCCACTCGAACACTTGTTACCCAATTTTATCGTAGATATAAAAACTTTTTAAAATTCTATTAAGAAAAATTGTCCAGAAAAAAATTGGAGAGCCGTAGCTACGGGGGGCTTGAGGTGTCTAAGCCCTCCTCAGCTAAGTAGACACTAACTATTTGAAGTATACAAAAAATATTGGCTACTATTACGTTGTTTACCACTAAACTGTAGTAAATAGTGCCGGCCGGAAAAGAAAAATATCGTTCACAATTTTTTCATTTTGTCCCAATGACGTACAGTACAGTACAGTACTCCCCACTATAGGACTGCAGCGGCTTCTTAACCAAATTTATAAATGTTAAAACTGTTTTAAACCTATAAATATTTAATTCATCGATCTACATAATCCATTCCTCTTCGTTCGGCGATTCGATATTATAATTAACCTAACTCTTTTTTTCTTTATTAAATGCGTAATCAATGTTTTTAACAAAGAAAGACTTAATTAGTTTATCGCTATTCGAATTTAATTACAATACTGTATATATCGTAAATTACTCTCAAGGTAATATCATCGATGTAATGATAAGATTTAGCAACAGATGGCAGCACGAATACGTAAGATGCAGTTTCATTATTATATTTTCTGATTTTGAAGAACTGTTAAAAAAATACTAATAAATTTTACCTACGTCAAGAATATTAACATTTAAAAAATAATTTTTACAACGTACGGTAACATGTTATTTGTTGTTAATATAACATTATTTCGGTTATTTATATAAAAATTTGCCATGTTATGGTATGATCTATATATATATAAATGGACGTGTGTGTCCCTATATTTCACTTTTCCGCAAAAACTACACATCGCACGTGAATGGTGTTTGTATGTGGTGGTAGCCCCAAGTCTCCATTCGTGCATAGGGGTGGTTGCGTCTCGATAGCTATAAGGGTGCGGGAGATATGAGGCTGAAAGTGGTTGAAAGTGGCTTTCTATTTCGAATGTTTTGTTCGAATTTGTTCGAATTAAATTCGAACATAAAATTCGAATATTGGTTCGATTATAGAACGATTGTAAACGTTCCAGAAACGTTGAAAATAGTTCGTTTGACTAAACGTAAAAATTCTCTAATTAGTCTGGAAACGGGGGACCTAATTCTTGCATTCTGTGAAAACGGGTAAGACTGGCTATAATGTAATTATCTTCATCTTCACTACCGTTACTTTTTGCCCAACGAAGCGGGTCCTTGCAGCTAGATTCTAGATTACTTAGAAAAACAGTCTTTTATATATATATAAACTATATTACATACAAATAAAAACCCAGCGAAGGGGGTCCTTGCAGCTAGTAGTATTATAAAGAAATACTTAATAATTAATGGCGTTTGATACTTTATTCGAATTTCTGCTTGAGCGAGAACGTGCTGGTCGCGTATACGGACCCTACTGTACAGTACAGTATATAAAAATAGTTAATGCTTCTAAACGATGTAAAAATATTCATTGTGATAATTCTTGCTCTATTAAAATAAACACAATAAATTTATTGAATGTAACGTAATTTGAAGTTATGCTAAATTTTAATTGCCGTATGTCATCAATAATTAAAATGATAAATCATATTATAATTTGAAGTTTTATAAAATAATGCTTTGCTTAAAATATTAATAAACTTAATAAAATGTGTATCTATCCATTATTATAAATCATTTAATTCGGTTAAGTTGCTAATGAATTGTTTATTAAATGAAGACAATTTAATATTTGACTATTTTGAGGTTGAAATTATAAAGTATAATAGTAAGGTTTATTGATTTTAAACCCATTAGATAGAGAGGTCTAATAGATAGAAGAGGTTCTAAGTGGCCGAAAAGATTATATTGAAAATTGTAGTTACCCTGTTTCATATGTGAAATATTAGGTGGTTAACAAATTTGAAGATCTTTCTTTAAAATGTAAGAATTATAAGTTTATTTTGATACGACTCGCAAGAGAGTTTTATTTAAAAATTTAAATTCTTCCTCTTGAAAAAATGCAAGTAAAATTGCAAAACATTTAAAAATTTAACAAAAAGTATTTCCACAATTTTTGTTTATGTTTGTCATTAGAAGCCGTAATTGAACATTGATTACTTTTGTAAAATAAATAGTGTAAAAGCGAAAACCGACAGGAAAAAATAATAATAATAAAATAAATAAAAGAAAATTATCAACGCTTTTAACTTCCACATGAATTGAACCCTAAATGTAATTTCTACTAATTTTGCAATATTAATGTAAAATTTATGTTATATATTCATTTTTTCCATTAAAACATCAAAATGTTTCAATTTGAACTGTTTATAACATATAATTTGAATTAACTGAAATTTTATCAGCCAGATTTTAAAGTAATAATGAATTGCAATAATCTACTGTACATTATAAATTATGTAAATACATAATTTTTACTAGCAACACATAGACTAATTTATTTATACCAGAATATATAATTTCTACCAGTAAATATATTGTTTGTACACGAATTCAGATTTTTGTGTACAAACAATGTATTTACTGGTATAAAAATGCTAGCTTTTTATACGCACAAATATAATTGTTTGTTTTTCTTTATTTACTTAAAAATTTCAGGTATAAAGTATAATTTGTTTCAAAATAAATTTAATAAATTTTTTCGTTTTTCAAGTTCGGCACAGAAATTAAACTTTCAGACTCACCCTGTTACTTTAGTGCCAGGCCCGATACAGTATAATGACGGCCTCGGCAAACCGCTCTTATACACATAATTTATGTTTTCGCTTCCATTCGGTTTTCAAACAATTCGACTAGCCAATCAACAACTTTATTTTACCCTTGAGTAAAATAAAGTTGTCGATTGGCTAGTATTTTTGGAATCTGTGGATGTGATAATTCCTAGAAAACGGTTTCATATTGATATTATATGTTGCTCTTCCAGCAACTTCAACGATATACTCTAACTGATAGAGACATTAATATTTGAAGGAATAAAAATTATAAATATGGTAACGGGCAACAAAAATTACGAAATCAGCGAATGAAAAATGACGCAAAGATTTCATCTTAAAATAACACAATATTAATTAAAGAAACAACATAAGTTATGACCACACAACAAACATTAATGACAATTACGAAATATTTCAGTTCTTCAAATCATAAATAAACGAGATTTTGAATAACTCTTACTATAAAACGTGCTCTCAAATTCTCCGAAATGTCGACGTACGCAAACTCTAAGAGGAGATTTAAGCAAATGCTAGAACTATCCGTTAAATGTATACAATAGAAGTCTTCCAGATGGATACTTGACTAGGTGATAGTTAAACTCTTAAATATGGAGACACACTAGACCAGTCATAGTGAACCTGTGGCATCATGCCATGATTTTAAAGTATCCATACTGAATCTAAACATTCAGTATGAGTACTTTGATTTGATTTGAAGTTTTAGGATTTTTAAATTGTAAAAAATTTTTTTTGATGGGTTTCATAAATTTTCATATGTCGTTGAAAGCTAGGCCCGAAAGCTGTCATAAAAAGTTTTAAAAGCCACTAATTATGAATCTCAGACAATAAAAATTATCATTAAATAAACAATAGATTTTTCATTAAACGAAATATTTGTTTCCGTTATAATCATATTATTTTTACCGTTATAACTAATATTTTAAATGATAATGCTGATGTAAGTCGAATTAAAAACTAAAATAGAAATGCATTTTACAAAGAAAAACTTACATGATCAACTGGTTGTATATGCATCTTATGTATCCTGGTTTAGGCGGAGGAGGGCGACGACACAAACCTAAAAAGAAGGGAATCATAAAAACGAAAGCGTAAAAATGTACCGTAAAATGAAAAGCTAACGTTTTGGCATTATAGAGCGAAACAACATACCATTCTCGTAAGTGGTGAGGGAAGAAGATGTGCATTGGGAAGTGGGACAGAGACGATCACCCGAGTCGATTTCTTTATATCTCGGATCTTAAATGTAGATATTACATTAGTATTTTTCGAAACAAATCTTACATAAAGTATTTTAAGTAATATGGAAACCTTCGATGCATCTAGGCGTCAGACGAGGACTCCAAGTTCCTTCCAAGTTACATCGATAAGTACTGTAAGAGGGCTCGAGAACCATTCTTTGAGGACATCCTAGAACGCAGACTGTCTCGTCGGAAGTGTGATTACATCTAATGCTTCCGGCAAACTTCAGATGTAGAGGATCGCAGTTCGAAAGTGCTAAAATAAAATTTTAAAAGTGTCTTCTAATAAATATTTAAAACAAAACGATGCAATGCAATATATTTTTACTGTGGTGTAATTTAAACAATCGATTTTCTGGTATCACATATTTCTTTTGTTTTCTATTTTTTAAATAAAATACCAAAATATTACATTGAAAACAATTTTTGCTAATAACTTACAATGGGAAACTCGCATTAAACGTTAATTATTTCGATAAGAATAGCTTCTACGAGGGATGCAAAGAATACAAATATCTTTACGAGAAGTCTGGCCGTAACTCTATTTGCATTTCATTTCGTTAGTTTTATTTAATTGCATTATTTAGAGACTATTTATTACAATGTTTATGTATAAACTTTATATATTATGTAATTTAATACAGGAATTTATTAATATTTAAATAATTTCCTTCTATCTTTGCCACGCATCTTTATATTGTGATAAAGTAAGTAAAAATGAAAATGTCTATCTTACTCTTCTATTGGGATAAAACATTTATTAATAGGCATAACATTAAATATATAAATATAAGTACAGTAGACCCCCCTATAACGCTTAGATACGTTCCACGCTAACCGAAAATTACGTTGTAGGAGTGAGCCAATCGCAGCCCGATAGGTGGGAACTTTACGGANATATATAAATATAAGTATAATATAAAACTTCAAAATATAGTATTTGCTTAATAGATACATTTGAGTAATTTGTTTCCCACAGTCCATGATTTTTAATGCATATTTAATCAATAAATAATAATTAATTTTTTATTAAAATAATGATAAAACAAAATAAAATATTAGTTATTTTGTTGTTTTAGTATGTATGGCGACATTTAATTTTATTTAAAATTTTTTCTCTAACAGCAATATCGATTTTCTAATGCACAATAAATTAGTAGTTGAATTAAAGTGATTTTCGCAATACAATAAATGAGATATTTCAGAAAAGATGATTAGATTCCTTTTTCATTCGACGATCCCCAATCGATATTTCTTAAATCTTTTCGTATATTCATATTTTCTACTTACAGAATTTGTCCTATTATTATAAAATGTACTGTACAATATGTCATTTCTACTCTAATCTAAGAATGAAATAAATTAGACAAGTAGCTGCATATATTTATGTAATTTTATCGCAGAAAATGATTGAAATTAGTTACTAATACAATTGGCACAGAAAATATCATTATACAGATACTGTATACAGATGGCGACGTCGCACAATTTTTAAAAATAGTTTCCACCTTTTTAAAAACTATTCATTTTACAAAATGAAACATGTTTAACAAGCGTACGAATTTTTATTAAACGAATTCAAAAAATTGTGCAAGTTTCCCATTTTAATCGAATATTATCGGAAATCGTATACGAAATAAACTTTAACAGCGGATACGTACGATATTGGCAGAAATTTCCTCTATAATCTTGTGAACAGAAGCATTGGTTTCGTCCGATGCACACCCCTCCGTTATTGCAGGGAACGTCACAGGCAGCTGCGAAAAATAATACTTTGTGTCAGTACTTTACTCGTATTGGCGCCTTGTAACGACGTCGACGATTATAAAGTCTTTTTGATGCGCAATTCAAATTTCATTTTTATAGAATAATTAATGACTGACTCTACGGATATTATCCTCTCACGCTTGTTCTAGACGTTAGAATATTTATATTTATGTATCTAATAAAAAAAAAAGTTTATTTAAACTGTATCTTCAAGGAAGAATTTTGTAAATATTTTAAAATATTTTAGTTAGAATAAACTTTTAGTTTGACAAAAAGTATCCTCCATGCAGCGTACAGGAGGCTACAATTTTATTAACGTGAATATTTTATAAGAGCAAGAAATAGATTCGGAATAAAGAAAAAATATTTAGAATTATATATAATTTATACATATTTTAAAATTAAAGACTATTTTAAAATAATCTTTATAATCAAGCCCGTAAAACTTCATTTTAATTTAAAGTAAACGTGCGTTAAATATTTTACGTGCGAAAGATATTTGCATCGAAAACCGAAATTAAAAATGCTCGAAATGTATAAAAATAAATTCCTAATCTCTTTTAAAATATTCACGAAACATCTTTTTAAATTATTTATTTTTCCACGTTTTTGAATTTTAAAAGAACGTCAAATTAAATTATTGGAAAACATTCTCACGTTTGCAATTGGGAAAATGACCGGAAGGACTCCATCTTCCGCTTTTACTTTCGCATCTGTACAGCAGTCTGTTTTCTCCGTTGGGGAAATGAAAACCCTGAGAACATCTCGCCGTACAATCACTAAATAAAATTAATTCATTATCGTGTAAGTAAATATTGTCGTTTGTAATTTTTCGCATTTTAAAAGACATCTTAATTAATTACAAAAACGTTATTTCTAAATATTAATTAAAATGATTTAAATGTAAAGCAAAGGCGTAAATGAAATATTTATATTTTATTTTATTATAACATACATGAATAGAATAAAGGATACTAATTAACAAATACGAAACGCAATTTGTTAGAATTCTTTTCAAACATGTTTTGATTACATAATTTAAAAGAAAGATTCTATTTAAATCATTAAAATTTCTACAAAATCGGTATTTAGTTGTTCTTTTATCCTTATCGCTTCGGATATTGTAGCTAATGATTATTTGCAGTTACTTTTGGAAGTATTTTTTATTTTGTAGACACGACTGCCGAAATATGTGAAAAATAAAATTACTCACAGGGTTTCTGCGTTGGGCACGCAATAAACGTAACCGTTCCTAGGCGAAGGAGGTCGTCGACAATAACCTCTGGTAATCCCTGTAATTTATAAATAGAAATTTATAAAATATTTATATGTTCTAACTTATTTAATAATTGATGCAAAAGAGTATGCTTTTATATTAAATATTGCTTATTAAATTATGGTATTTATAAAGTAAAATATCAACACAAAGTTAATTATCATTGCTAAAAGCACATTAAATTTTTAGATTAAATTTTAAAATTTAATTACCGAGACTGTTGATATCGCGAAATTTGCAGTTTATATCACCTTCGCTTGTAAAATTGCAAAATTATTTTTACAATATAATTAATACGAATATATAGGCAACTTATAAACGTTTCAAGATCTTTTCATCATTTATATAGGCAAAATCAAAAGATGGGAAAATATAAGCTGCGAGTTTGGTTACGGACGAAGCGAAAAGAGCATTATCGATCTTTTGCCAGGGATTATCGATTTGGATAGATCATTTGGTGGAAGTAGAGATGATATTGGTCGCTATTATTTGAGATAGATAAGTCACGTAATCAAAAAGTGACGGGGAAATAACATCTTTTGTGTTCCGTCGGATCGGCCGACGGACGACCGATGTTTGTATCTGTTCCTGGAATGATTAATGACAAACGAATACTAAGATAACGCCCGCCGTTCCGCCTAATAATAAAGAGAAAAGAAAAAATAGAAATTCAATCTCGAGAACTTTAATAAAACGAGCAAAAACGCAAGAATAATTATTTTAACAAATCAAAGATTCGGAATTTTTCATAATTTTTTGTCTACTTTAAATGAAGGATTAAAAGTTCTATTTAATTACAGTTTTCAGAATGAAATTACCTGTCTGGTCGTGTCCGAGATCACCTCTATTTCCATAAATGTCATCGGATGTCTGAGAATTTTCGTCTTCGGAGACGAGAGATTGTCCTACAATTGAAATTATATTTTTAAACGTTACGTTCCATTGCATTTTTTTAGATTTTTTAAGATTTTAACTTAAGTTGTCAAACATTCAAAAATAATTTAATTTCGGATAATTATTTTTTATTTTAAAATGTATTCTAAATAAAAGAAATTTTTAGACACAGTATTTTACCGGTCGAATCGATGTCTTGATTAGTTGTTGGTTCGGAATCGGGACGATAAATTCTGTCTTTTATTTCTGAAAGTGTTCGTCGATAGAAGGTATTAACGTTCGAACATTAAAACTTTTAAATAAATAAATATAAATGTTATAAATTGCCAAAATTTTATATAATTTAAAAATTTTTAAGTAAAATTATTTAAAAAGTTACTAAGGCATAGAATTAGAATCAAAAGTTTATTTTAAGTCTTGAAATTTGATCCCGTTTTAAAATAGAAGTCCAGTAGTTATCATCAAGTAACTTTTATAAAAACACTTCCTCGCTTCGAATTTCAGTTTAATTCCTTTCGAAATTCCTTACTTAAATAAATCGGTAAAAGTTACAAAACAAAAATTTAAATAAATAAAAAAAAAATCAGAATATTCATTAAGGTTTTAATCTGTATCGAAATACTTATAATATTTATCAAAAGAAGTTGTTTTATGACGGAAATAATTTGAAAACTTTATAAACCACTTCCTCTTCCGTTTATTTGTGTCGAGGATAACAAAGCGCACAAAGCTATAAATAAAACGACGAACAAACGAGAGTTTCGATGTCATCAGTTATTATTTGAAGCTAATATGTGTTACTTGAATGGTGTCGTCGGTCAATTACGTCGTTCTTCGGTGAAAATGCCATTATCGATCGACTAACCTTTGCAAGAGGGGAAAAAAGAAACGGGTAACCATCCTCTGACTATCGAACAACGAAGTACCATGGTATTTTTGCCGTCAGGAAACGAAAATCCGGTCATACACGTCCCCGTACAACGCCTGTAACAACAACAAAAATAATAAAATAAAATGCACCACTTCTTTAAAATAAGTTTAAAGTTATTCGTATATATAAAATTCCCTAACCCGTACTGTACATCTCCGTACTTTTTATATTTATTTTATAAAATTTTTATTTCGAAGAATAATATGGATATCCATATTTTAAATACGTAATAAATTGATAAGTTAATGAACTTAATGAAAATAAGAACTCTAATGGAAAAGTTTTCACGCGTAATCTTGTTTTCGATTAAATAACATTATTTAATTTCCACTAATTTCTTTACTGTCTTAATTTCCATTAAAATCTTTTAAGAACTTTTGTAAAGATGCATGTACTGTAATTATAATTTAAACACGATTCTTTAAAAGACATTTGTCCCTTTCAATTCTTTGGGTAGGCATATACTTATATATTACGGTTTTGACTATTTCACAACGTGTGGAAAATCAAACGTTAGACATAGTTCACAGTTTTTCAGATATTCACATATTTTTAATTCATAAAAATTTCTTTTAAAAATTCTTAATTTGGCTTATAAATGGAGGATTATAAAATTAAGCTTATATTCGCTAAAGGCCTAATGTCGCAGCTACGCATAAAAGTAATAGAATTTTCGAGTGATTTGAAGATTTCGAAGTAATTTCGATTTTGGGCCACAAATCCAAGCAATATTTGATAAAGTTCTTTGGTAGCCCAGAAATCATTTGTAAGAATTTATTCGATCAAAGCATACAGTGGATAAGACGATTTCTATTGAAGAATTCACCGAATAAGACCTCTTTCGATTTAATATGTATACCTTGCCACATGAAAATGGGTGTTTTCATTACGCAAAAATATTTAAGAAATTTCTGACAAAATACAAAATTTCAGATCTATAATATTCTCATTCTTGGCTTCCCCAAAATTAAATATAGGCTATTCGAGAACAGGGAAAAAACTAAACGTAAATCACAGATAAATTGATGAATGTAAACTTAAATAGAAATTCAAAAACTGATGGCAATTATTTTTATTTTATTTGTATTTTTTATATTCCTGCTTAATCCTAAAATTTTATTTCGTATAAAAACTTCAATTTAATGACTTTGCTAAAAGTTATTTTTTGGTAAACTTTTACAAATACAGTAGAGCGTCGATTATCCGAATCAATTGGGGATTGTGGTTGTTCGGAAAATCGATATTTCGGATAACCGATTGTGCAAAAAAATATATAACCTATCCCATGTTGAAATTTTTCTCCGTTGCGTGTCGCTTCGCGTTGAATTTTCGTCGATGTTAAGCCTAACGTAAACTGTTTAAAATAATAATCGTGACTATGTATCGTTAAAAATTATTTCTTTATTTTGCACAAACAAAATAGATATATTGAAAAATATATAAACAATAAAAAATTATACTTCAGAAGTTAATTTAGTATCAAAAACGTAAAATATTTGAGTAGCCCAAGACACAGCCAAAGATTGCAGCGCCACAGAACTGGCGAAAATTTAAATTTGCCGACTGAAATTCTTTAAGATAATCGACGCTCTACTGTATCTTTATTTCTGTTTCCGATTATTTTCACTAACTTTTGAAAAGCGACATAAAAGAATTAGTAACGACTACGAATACAAAGTGCAAATATAATATTCACTTGAAAATTCCGTGTTTTTATCGCGCTATCTTTTAGTAACAGGCACATAAAGGAACGGCGAATATATATTCATTGGTTCATATTTTATAATGATATTCATTGAAAAATGGAAAGTACACTTCCTTCTAAAAGCTATTTATATTTACTTTTGTTGATGTGCTGGTTTTTTGTGACGTAATAATACGAAAATATCAATATTTAGGCTATAATATGATACTGACAAAGTATTGATAGCTTGTTTTATATTTTATTCATCAAAAGCTCCCATTCTGTTACAAATCTACAATGCATTTCTTTCTGAACGTAACGTGACTTTTTGTAATATCTAAACTTAAATTGAGTATGCCTTTCAAATTCTCTACATTTATTTCTATCGTAATGTATTTGAGTACATTTTATTGTATCTTTCCATTATTATCAATCGACAGAATAAAGTTAACTCGCAATTTTTATACTCAAAAACTAATTTTCGGAAGATTCCACTATAAATTTTAAAACTTTGCTTTGCTCTAGGGAACGGGAATTTTCGATTACGCATTCTCCCATCGACTAAAAAGAAATTATATATATGCGTAATTTGTATTGTATTATAAGTGTAATAATATATATATATATATATATNATATTTTTAAGTATTTTGCAAATTTGATCCCACGTCGAAGAAACAGTCAAATGTGCAATTCTGAAACAATACTGTATGAAACGAAGTCGTAAAAGATACGAAATATAAAAATACCAATCGTAAAATTTCTTATATATCAAGCAAAAACCGGACAGATAGCTCGAAAGAAACTTGTCAAGCTAATGGATTAAACAGCGTATACCTTCTATGCAAAACAATATATATATATTATTTATTTTTTTAGTCTGTAAAATTATTGAAATGTATTATTTCTTAATGTTAAAAACTATTCTATAATCTAAACCTCGAATCATTAATTTTAACATATTAATATGTATTTGTTACATTCGAAATATTTTTATAAAAACTAAAATTTCTATTTTCAACATTTGAATTTCATTAATTTTCTTTTTACCTGTAGCCGTGTGAAAATTGTTGTTCGCAATGAATAAATCCTCCTTTCGGTGTCGACGGCTTGGGACAAAGAACGCTCGGAGCTATAAGAATGTTTAATCATAAATAAATAACGCAAGATTACTTTTAAAATACCGATAAAGAATTTGAGAGTACAATTTTAATATTTTAAAACTATTTTAATTTATCTATATGTACACACATAAGTTGACAAAATTATGATAATGTTTATAGATTACTAGCAGACCCCGCCACGCCTTGTTGTGGCTCAAAATGTATCTATTATAAATGTATAACACTTCCCCCTAGGAGAAAATTTTTCGAAAAATTTCTTCTTAGTGTACATTCTCTTGACGTACCCTATTAAAACGCAATCAAAAATGCAAAAACCCGCATATAAAATAGTATAATAGAAGCCAAGTTTTTCACAGTAAGCCTTAATCCTGTCCCTCTCCCCCCCGGGGGGAATATCGAAAAATCCCTTCTTAGTGTACATTCTGTTGACGTACTCTATTAAAACGCAATCAAAAACGCAAAAAACCGCATCTAAAATAGTATAATAGAAGTGAAGTTCTTCACAGTAAGTCTTAATCCTGTCCCTCTCCCCCCCGGGGGGAATATCGAAAAATCCCTTCTTAGTGTACATTCTGTTGACGTACCCTATTAAAATGCAATCAAAAATGCAAAAAACCGCATCTAAAATAGTATAAATAGAAGCAGAGTTCTTTACGGTAAGCCTTCCCCGTAAGGCTTACCGTAAAGAACTGTCCATCCCCCATGTTTAACGGAATAATATACAGCCTATGTCCACCCTGAAGTTCCATTCTAAATATTGGTGAAAAAATTTTTGAAATCGGATGAGTAGTTTTGGAGATTACCTGCTGCATCCAAACTTACATACAAACATTACCTCTTTATTATATTAGTATAGATTACTTATATTTATAGATTATTATAATACTCTATCTATCTATCTAAAAATATTTCATTTAAAAATTCGTAGGGGAAATACAGTATATGGGTATCGTTATTATTATTATTTATAATTGATACAAACATCATTAAAGTGTTGTTTTATAAAATAATATTAGAAATCAGTTTAATCCCATTTTGTATCATAATTTATGTATAAAGAATGGTATAATAAGAAATTGTAGAGTTGGAGATTATTTATGTGACTTCTTTGCATTAATGCAAATAATAAAATTTCTCAAATAATTTAGATGTATAATCTATTTTATATAACTTAATATTATTTCACTTTGCTTTCAATATTAATTTTTTATATTTATTTCAAAAAACTAAAAATATTTATTTATTTATAAATATTAAATTTATGAGAATGTTAAACATGTATTAACACGAGAAATGTGTTAGATGAGTGGTGAGACATTTTCTTCCAATGCAATGGTGCATTATTCTTTGTTTAACGGATAAATTGCCTTGTTGCAAAACGTACCATAACTCAATTATGACTAAAAGTTACGAGTTGTTTTGGAACCTTTGTCCGGATATGTGTCATAAAGAAAGCCTAGTTTTCCAACGCTCACTACTTTCTATGTAATCTAAACTAAATACTGGCCTAATTGTATTAAATAAAATAATAAAAAATAAAAAATTACATTTCTTCTGCTGCAAAAAATACCAAGTGAAAAAAGTAATCCTAAATATTATTTAATGCCGTATTATATTAATATTGTATTTCAAATTGAAGTACTATAAGTTATATTATACTGAAAACTTATTCGCAAAGTACACCATGTGCCAAGGCACGCATGCATCATAATTGTCTCCCTACAAATACATGGAAAGTAAACAAAAAGTTAATATCCACGGATAAATGCCCCGTATGACAATTAACAGAAACTCTTAACCATGCCTTCCTCCAATGCACACATACAAAAAAATTATAAGAATTCCTGGAAAAATTCAACAATATTCCAAAACCATCTAATGAGAATGAACTCCAATGGCTTCATAACATACAAAACAAAAAGGTAAATTACGCTATCTTAATAACAGCATTCGAAGCTATCTGGAGAAGCAGAAACACAGCGTATTTCCGGAAAATCAATGATATTACGACAATCACGAAATTCAAGTTCCACTTACAAACAGGGGCGGACTGGCCCTAAAATTTTTGTGTGGAAAATTTATTACCAGCCCAGCCCACAAATAAAAAAAAATGTATTTTTTCTATTTATATTTAAATATATTCAAAATACAACATTGACAAAAATTACAATAAGCACAAGTCTATATTCTACAATATTAAATTTTTTTTAGAAGTTTGCTTTGTTGAGCAATAATATTAATGACATCATCAGAATGTATTTCGTTTAAAAAATCCTTCTCTACTAACATTAACACGAAGGCTTCTAGATTTTCTTGCGAGATACTTATAAGTATTATAGCCTGCTTTTAATAAATTTTAAAATAGAAAAGCTTTGTTCATCGGACACTTGTGTTACAGACATAGATAGCAGATATTTGTATGCTTGACCAAGTATAGAATAAGCGCCACTTAACATGCTATATCTGAATAATATATTATAACAACAAATAGAGCAATTTTTGCAAGCAATGCAGTAAGAGGATAAAATCGCATCTTTATTAGTTTCTACTTGATCATCAGTAGAATATTCATTTTCGTTTAATTTTATAAAAGTTTCATTGACATTTTCTTTTAAAATATTCCATGACGATTTAAAATGTTGTAATTCTGAAATAATATTGTGTTGAGTGGATTAAACTGTATTAAAATACTGCTTAATTTTTGAAATGCGTTTTCAGGAATATTTAGTGACGGTCCCGTAAATTTTGGTCTAATGTGCTTTGAACTCGCTGTAAGATGACAGTCGAACTCTCCCCGGTTGCTCTCTCTCCCACCTTCCCTGATCTAGATCAAGGACGTGTGAATTTGGTTTAGGAATGCTGCAATTAAATCGTCTTACACTCGTTCCTGTTTACGAAATAAATCGTCGATTTATAAGCTTTAGCTCGACAACCAGTTTCCCATTGGAGAGGGGGTGAGGTTCCGGCCTTACACTACAAAATAGGTTATTTTTAATTAAATCGTTTGGAATACAGAGAAATTATTATTGAATAACATTTTTTACTTGCCTAAAATAAAGGAAATAATATAAGTGGCCATTAAATTTGTTATGACTACAATCATTGCTTTGGTGGCTAGGTATAAAACTAACAACTTGCATTTCTATAGTTTAGCATTAAGATTCATAGGAGTAGTGAACAGTTTCTAGCAATGTAAACAAATGACCAATTTTCTCTGTTTAGAAGGTAGTTTTGATTATTTCTCTCCTATGATGCTTTCTGGGCCGAATCGGGCTAATGTAGTGTTTGACTCAGATCGGCCAAACTAATTTAACTTCGGATACGGGTAGGGCCGGGTAAAATGATACAGGCCTACACTGCTACACATATACCTATATTATATCTAAAAATTGAAATTTACCTTACTTAACAAAAAAAAATAAATGAATTTTTTAAAATTAAACTTAACCAAACGGTACATTATGTACATATTTAGAAAAAAAAGGCCAAATTGTATACGGCCCATGTGGAATTTTCCACATTTTCCACATGGCCAGTCCGCCCCAGCTTACAAAGACTACTAGAAACGATAAATGAAAGCAAAAAGAATCTAAATACGAAAAAAATCAACAACTGGGAAAAAACAGGAATGATTCAAGTCATCAAGAACAAAAACAACCAAATAACTTTACAAAATGTAAACAATTAAATGTTGCAACGTAACCCCTCCATATAGTCTGTTTAATCAACTTTCACACCATACTGTACATCATGAAAACAAATTAGTAAATCTTTACTGGAAAAACTCATATGTGTATTCACATTAACTACAAAACCGTTATGCACTGAAATACTTGTTATGTTATAATCATCAATCATCGATTGAAACACTGTATATGATACTTTTCTGTAAATAAAGATATGTGCCAAGACGGTCTGTAGAAGCCTGAAAGTTATGATACATGCGTAAATCTTGCCACCAACGGTATCTCCATCGTGACAAAACCGATACATTGTACTGTACTTCCGAATCTGTGGAATTCTGTTTTATCGATAATATCGCAGTATAACGACCACACTGGTATTGATACAGGCCAGATGGCCGAGCGATCAAGGTGGCAGTATACTCTCTGGGGGACCCGGGATCGCATCCGGACGGGTCAAGGAATCCCCATGTATTTTTCGGGGGGGTGGTCCGTCCGGATATGTCGGGCACCGTACCTCACCACCCGGTCGCCCCATTGTGGGCCTGGCCGAACCCATAATGGGCCTGCTATAAGAGGCCCTCTTAGTGCCCATAGGGCAGAAACAGTATAGATAAAAATAAAAAAATAAAAAACTGGTATTGATAATTAACATGTTAAACCATTTCTTCAGCTTCCACAATTTTCGCGCGAGAAGTTTTCAGCGTTTTTCTCAAAATATCAAAAAACCACGAGGTATGGTAAGTTTTGGAACTGGAATCCATATGTAATCCATAACTATTTCAATAACGAGCAATTATTTATTGTGACATCGTCACAATGCCAGGCTACAATTTTTAATCATATTTTTAATTNCCCTTCAACGTAGTATCGCCCCGTTCACTCCAAAATTCCGATTCCGAGGGCCAACGCTAACGCTGAATTCATACTGCATTGAATAGACTAGTCACTAGTATAATGTTATTTGTTTGATTATTGTACAGTACGATATAACGAATAAAATATCTAAATATTCTTAATATAATGTTTTACTATATCGCCCAGAAAATTTTTTTCGCCCCCCAAAATATAAATTGTTACTAATCGTCCCCTCAACATGGAAAAACGCCCACATGGGGGCGATATGCCCCGTTGAGAAACACTAGTTTAGAAGGTAGTTTTAATTATTTTTCTCCTAGGATGCTTTCTGTTTGGGCCGAATCGAGTGTTTGACTCAGATCGGCCGAACTAATTTAACTTCGGACACGGGTAGCGCCGGGTAAAATAATACAGGCCTACACATATACCTGTATTATACCTAAAAATTGTAATTTACCTTACATAACAAAAAAATAAATGAATTTTTACAAATTAACTTAACCAAACGGTACGTTA